TCCCTGACTACACAGACTGCTGTAAGAGTTACCTTTAAAGAAATCCTCTCTTGACCCCACCTCCCCTTCAACTATTGCTCTTCTACTCTTTTTAAAATAGATTTTGCTTATTTATTTGAAAGAGAGAGCATGAGCAGGGGGAAGGGGGAGAGGAAGAAGCAGACTCCCTGCTGAGCAGACTCCCCAGATGCAGGACTTGATCCCAGGACCCCAGGATCATGACCCGAGCCAAAGGCAGATGCTCAACCGACTGAGCCACCCAGGCATCCCCTATTCTACTCCTTTTGAGAGTAAAATTTCTCAAATGAGTTGTCTGTAGTCCTGTCTGCACTTGCTTTCCTCCTGCTCTTTCTTGAACTCACTCTAGTCAGGCCGTTGTTTCCACCCGTCCTCTGAATTATTTCCCTCTTCTCAGGGTCTACAGTGACCTCCAAGTTATCAAGTCAATGGTGATTTGTCAGCTTTCCTTTTGCCCTGCCTGGGAGTAGCACTGGTCCAGGTGCCTTCTCCCTTGCCCCTTGCTTCCTACCTCCTCCTGCCACTGGCTATTCCTTCTCTACCTCCTTTGGCAGCTCCTCATCTGCCTCCCAACATGGCCATGAAATGTTCCCGACTACATTCATTTGCCGGGACCCCATCTTGTCCTGTGACTATCAATAACACCTATATGCCAAGGACTCCCAGGTTATATGTCCAGTCCTGACCTTCCCCCCACCCCAAATTCCAGACTCTAATATCCAACATCCTACCCAGGCTCTGTTTGGAGGTCTACTAGATATCTCAGCTCATCACATCCCAATTTAAACTTGTGATTTTCCACCTCCCTAACTTCTTCCTCACCTTAGTAAATGGCATCACCATTCATCCACCTGACTCAGTAAAAACTATGACGTTATCCTTCCTTTCTCTGTTATACCTTAAATTCTGCAAATTCCACCTTCAGAATATGTTCCATATCTGGTCACCAGCCAGCCATTCGTCTTGTGTCTGGACACCTTAACAGTGTCCTAACAGATCTTCCTGCTTCCACCCTTACCTAATCTAGAGTCTCCATGCAGCAGCTGTGATATTTTTTAAGCAGAAATCACACCACATCACCCTCAGCTTTTGGCATTCCAGTGGGCTCATGTTACGCTTGAAATAAAACTAAGGTCCTTAAGATGTACATGACATTAATAAGCTAAGTCTACCTCCCACTGCTCCCTTCCTTGCTCACTCTACCCCAGCCACTCCAGCCTCCTCACTGTTCCTGCAACGCATCAAGCATATTCCTGCCTCAGGGACTTTGCACTTGTAGCTCCTTCTGCTTGGAACAATTTCCCCTGCTACCTAAACAACAGGCTCTCTCACTTTGTTCAGATCTCTGCTCTGCTGTTGCCTCCTCCAAGGGGCCTTCCCTGATCACTGTATCTAAAACAATAGCTCCTTGACATGTCACTTGCATTGGGCACTTGGTCCCTTACGCTGCTTTATTTTTCCCCATAGCACTTACCACCATCTGACATTATATTAGGTGCTTGTTTCTTCATTGCTCTTTGTCCTCATTAGAATGTCAATCCCATTAGAGCAGGGATTTGTCTGTCTCATGCACCATTTCCCCAGTGTCTGTACACAGGGGATGTGAATGAAGAGATGAAGGAAGGATTGAGAAGGTGAAACAGCAAATGAGTAAGAGAATAAGTGGTGGCCTGGGGGTCCTGGCAGTCCTCCAGCAGAGGACACCAGGGTCCCATTCCTTGGCTTATGCAAGGTTCAGGCCTGGATGAAGCCACTAATGTTCCCTGCAAAGGCAGCCCAAGGGGAGGGACAGGCCCCAGGCTAGGACACAGTGCCCCCTAGTGTCCAGGACATGTGCAGCTCCAGGGCGAGGCCTGAGAATCCTGGAGATTTGCAAAGACTCTCTTTTATAGACTGGTTGGAATCTCACAAAAACTGACATAAAGCAAAGAGGCTTAGATTTGTAATAAAAAAGCATGCCAGAACAGAGACCCAGAGTTCTAGGTTCCAGTTCTGGCCATGACCCTAATTCTCTAGGTAACCTTCAGTGTCCTGGGATTTGCTGAGCTGTCAAGGGCTGGTTTGCCACTGTGGGGTGGAGGGGTCCTTGCTGCAGCCAATCGGACTGGGGAGGCTCTTGGCCTCAGCTTGCTTTATGGCCGGCAGCCTGATTGATCATGGGAAGACTTTCCCTGTCATAGGGAAGACATCACCCCCTCCCATAAGCGGGGCCGAAACCTACCTCCCCTTGCCTCTAACATCCGTCCAGTCTTTTCTCTCTGTGGCCAGCACTGCACAGAACCCCCCTGCCCACAACCTCCTTTCACACATTGCATCTGGAGATGTCTTTCAGACATCCAGGAGTGTGGTGTGCAGTTGGATTCTTAAATCTGGAGTTCAGGGGGACAGGTCTGTGCTGAGATGTACATTTGGGAGTCGTGAGCATTTAGATGGTCTATGAGATCTGGAGACAGAATTGGCTCACTTATGGCAGTGGTTCTCCACCTTGGACTCCCAAAGAAATCATCCGGGAAATTGAAAAACTGGACATTGGTGCCCACTAGACTGATGAAATCTCAGCCCCTGGGTGTAGGACAAGGCGTAGGCATTTTTAAAAAGGCTCCAGGTGATTCCATGTGCAGCCAGGGTTGAGCTACACTGTGTCTGAGGCTGGAGCCCCAGGCAGAACTCTGGCAGACGAGGTGCCGGCCGAGGCTGGGAAGGAGAGATTTGTGACAAGGGAGGAGAACCAAGTGAAAATGGTGTTTTAAGGAGAGATGTCAGATCCTGCTGAGAAGCTGGGGAGACCAGGTTGCTTTTGTTTGGGGGAACAAGAGGTTGGTGACCCTAATAAGAGTGATGTAATGGATCAGTGGGGCCCACGGGGAGACTTGAGTTGGCTAAAGGGAGAATAGGAGAAGGTGGAAATGAAAGTAATCAACAACACTTTTGAGGAGTTTCACTGTGAAGGGGAAAAGGGAACGGGGAGGTCGCTGAAGCCGAATGTGAGGTCAAAGGTTTCCTTTAAAGATGTGAAATTATGGAGCGTGTTTGCATGTGGCTGGAAAGGATGATGGCGATGGTGGAATTCCTGGGTGAGGAGAGAGGATGGCTCAGTTTGCCAAGCTGGGAGGGGACGGGGGCTGGGGTCAGAGCACGCGGGTTGGGGAGCAGACACTTCCGTCATCGCCGGGCAGGACGGAAATGGTGTGGCTGCTGGTGCGCTTGCCAGTGAAGTGCTGGGAGGTTGAGGGGCTTCGCTGCTGTCAGCTGCCATCTGTCCAGGATATCTTTGAGATGAGAAGGAGTGGGGATGGAGAGGAGAAGGTGAGAAGGTCTTGGGATGGAGGAGCTCTCCGGAGAGCCTGTCTATCTGAGCTTTGAGATCACATCGTGAGAGAATGTGGTCAGCCTGGTTGTGTGAATTTCTCTGGCCACGGGCAGCTGTCGGGGGACAGGCATGGAGGGGAGTTGGGTTCACCCGAGGCTGGGCATTTTGCCAGACAAATAAGATGGAAGAAGAGAGGACCACAATTTGCTCCATTGGCGGAGCAAAGAATTGAAGTCGGACAAGGATGGCGTTGTGGGGACCAACTGCACAGATGGTGAGGAAAGGGTCCTGTAGGCCAGTGTGGTTGGAGAGGAGCTTTATGGGCCATGCCAGAGGAAGTGGGCTGGAAGGAGAAAAGGAGGTGGCCAGAGGTGGATGCTTGGAAATAAGATTGCGAAGAGGGAGCATCACTGTCATGAAGAGGCGCAGGATGTGCCAATGGCATGGGCGGGGGAGGCAGAGTTGAGGTCAAGGGGCTGGGGGCAAGATTCTTGGGGGCATGATGCTTTTGTGCAGGGAGGCCTCAGGCATGGTGACAGGAGTAGCGTGAGGGCACCAAAGTCTTCAAGACACTTGTTTATCTCCCTCTGGAACATGAGATCCTTGAGAACGGAACCTCACTGAATTATGGGGCGCCTGGGTGGCTCGGTCGGTTAAGCCTCTGACTCTTGATGACGGCTCAGGTCATGATCTCAGGGTTGTGAGATCAAGCCCCATGTTGGGGCTCCGTGCTGAGCATGGAGCCTGCTTAGGATTCTCTCTCTCCCTCACCTGCCCGCCCCACACTCTCTACAAAAAAAAAAAAAAAAAAAAAAAGGAAAACAAAAACAAAAGGACCTCACTGTCTTGAACATGGCGGTGTCCCCAGTGCCTGGCACAGAGTAGGCAGGCAGTAAAACTCTAAGGCATGAATGAATGCCTGGTAGGTAATTTGACCTTTGTCCTCGACAGTTGAGGAGACTGAGGCCCAAGGTTCCCAGAAGTGTCTGCACATTTTGGAGTCTTATTGGGGAGCAGGTGTTTTGGTTGTGCAAACCTTTGAAGTCCCTTCCACCTGCCCTCCCCCCCCCGCCCCCCACCTATTACCTCCTCCCCAGCTCAGGCTACTTGGTCTCCAGTTGGGCTCCCTCAAATTTGTTTTCCGCACTGCTTCTTCTATAATCTGACTGTGTCTCTCTGCTGAGGATGAGACCAAGCTCACTGCAGGATGGTCAGGCCTCTCATGCTTGGCCACCAACTCCCTGTCAGCCCCATGCTTTTCCCTTTATCTCTGGGCCAGTGCAGACGCACCCTCAGCCTGGAAAGACCGGGGGCTTGCTGTCCACCTGGTAAGGCTCTGCCTGTCCTTCACGCTTAACTCAGAGGGCACCTCACGCATGGGCAAGCCCAATTTCTCCTCCTGCCTTACTGTCCCTGTCATTTTTGTTGCACAGGACTGACTACATGGGCCCTAATTATCTGCATCCCACCCATCTGCTCAAGTGGACTGGAGCCCACGGGTCGCAGAGGTCAAGTGCAGGCTAGGTGGGTCCCCGGCACCCAGCACAGGGCGCTGGTGTTTGCTTCAGGGCACGTGAGTGAGGGTCTGTGTGTCTGTGCGGCTCGGTGAGCACCACTGCCAAGGGCTGAAGGGAGGAACTGTACACTATGCGCTACAAGGTGGGACCAGGAGCAGAGCTGGGAGGTTTTATTACCAGCAAACCTGTTCACTGTACACGGCGGGGGAGGGGGGACCGGTGGGGCACAGGAGGGGTCCTCCCCAGCCTGCCTGCCTTACCCCTGCAGGCCAGAGTGGATGCAGGGCTGTGGCCCAATGTCCATTGTTGGCCCTGGCCCAGGAACAGCAGAGCACCTGTCTTTCCTCCTGCCACAGAGCCACGCAGGGCTTTCAGGGCCGGTCACAGGGGACTGGGCCCTTCTTCCGCTCACGGCTCAGCAGAGTCACCAGCTTGGCCTTGAAGCCCGTGTGAGCACTGGGGCGGCCAGAGCTCCCAGCTTCATCACTGTCGCCCAGCTCTAGTTCCAGCAGCCGCCGGTACTGGGCCTCGAGGCTGCTGTCGTGGGCAGGGCCCGGACCGCCCAGGTCCTCGCTGTTGTGGTAGATGGGGCTGGCCAGGGGGCTGCGGCAGCTGGGATCCTCCTGCTCGGGGTCCCTATCCCTGGGCAGCACGGGGCCTGCCTCCAGCAGGCATAGGTTCTCATAGAGGTGCTCGGCATTGCCTGGGGGCCCACTGGCCCGCTTGCACACGGATGCGTAGAGCCCAGACACTGGCTCATCTTGGGGCACCGGGCTCAGCAGTGGGGGCAGGCTCTGGGGGCCGGGCTCAGCCAGGCGTGCCCTCCGGGAGCTGGGCGGCTCCAGCCCTGGGGGCACCTCCCGCAGCTCTCCTGGCGGGTCCAGTGAGGGCAGGGAGGTGGCCCGAGGCAGGGGACAGGGTCGGGGCCTAGCCTGCTCTGGCAGCTGTTCCTGCTGGCGGGCAATGGCAGCGGCCACGGCCCTGCACAGGTCGAGGGCTCGGGGGCTGCTGAAGGCGAAGAGACCCTCGCCCGAGTCACAGCGGCGTCCGGCTTCAAAGGAGAACACGTCCTAGACACGGGGTTAGGGGGTGGTATGGGTGGGTTCACGGCGGAGGGACCTGGGCTCCTGTCCACCTACCACCCTTCCCAGCAGGGCACTCCTTGCACCTCACCTTGTCAGAGCCGAACTTGCGCAGGAAGCGGTAGGGCCAGGTGTAGAGGGCCTGGGGGCTGGAGGATTCCCGCAGCTGGATGGTGTCTTGGCTTAGCACTAGGAGGTAGGGCCCCTTCAGCTGGCAGTGGGTGGCAGCCTCGGTTCTCTGCACCACCACTGGAAACTCGCCCACTGCAGGCAGGAGGGTGGCGAGGGCATCAGGGATAGCCCGCCTGGGTCCCCCAAAGGTCCCAGCCCTGGGTGGAGGACGGCTGAGGCTGCCCCTGCCCCTCCCTGACTCACCTTCTTGCCAGGAGGAGTAGATGGAATTCTCCTCCATGGGGACCAGGCCCCTCTTGGAAGCTTCCACCTCCCCTGGTCCTGAGGAATACTCCCCTATGCCCTGGAGAATGAAAAGCAGTCAGAAGTTAGAGCCTTCCCCCCACTCCTCTTTCTACATCCTCTCCCTGGGCCAGTAACCCAGGACTCCAGGCCAAGCAGGAACATCCAGGGACTGGGGTGCCACTTCCAGTTCTGCCCCCGACACACTGCACGACCCTGGGGACCCCTCTGTTTCCCCACCTGCAGCCCCCACGTGCCCCCTTAAGGCTGCCGAGAGTTGTAAAGTAGCGGCACACAGGAGGAGGTCCCCATTGCACTTGCACTTGGCCAGGGACTGGGCCTCCTGTGTGTGTCCCTAACAGCTTGGAGTGATAAAGGGGCAGGAGCTTTAGGGGTGGGACACGCAAGTGAATTGGCTCCTCCATCCTTCTCCAGGCCTCTTTCACCATCTCCCCTCACATCCTCTGAGCTCTGTCAGCACCTCCAGCACAACCACCTTGGCCCACGGTGGCATGGCCGGGGTCACATGCGACAGCTTCCTCACTGGTCTCCTTGTTCCTGTTCATTTCCTTTTTTTTTTCTTTTTAAAGATTTATTTATTTATTTGAGAGAGCGAGAATGAGAGAGAGTACATGAGCGGGGGGAGGGCCAGAGGGAGAAGCAGGCTCCTCGCTGAGCAGGGAACCCGATGTGGGACTCGATCCCGGGACTCCAGGATCATGACCTGAGCCGAAGGCAGTTGCTTAACCAACTGAGCCACCCAGGCGCCCCCCCCCCTTTTTTTTAAACTTAAAATATTGTGGTGGGGATGCCTGCATGGCTCAGTCAGTTAAACGTCTGCCATCGGCTCAGGTCATGATCCCAGGGTCCTGGGATAGAGTCCCACATTGGGCTCCCTGCTCAACAGGGAGCCTGCTTCTCCCTTTCCCTCTGCCCCTCTCTGCTCATGCTCTCTCCCTCTCTCTCTGTCAAATAAATAAAATCTTTTAAAAAATAAAATATTGTGGTAGAATACACAACATAAAATTTACCATTTCACCATTTTAAAGTGTATAATTCAGTGGTTTTAGTATAGTCATAAGGTTGTGTAATGGTCACCTTTATCTAGTTCCAGAATTTTTCTTTTTTTCTTTTTCTTTTTTAAAGATTTTATTTATTTGACAGAGAGAGACACAGCGAGAGAGGGAACACAAGCAGGGGGAGTGGGAGAGGGAGAAGCAGGCTTCCCGCCAAGCAGGGAGCCCGATGCGGGGCTCGATCCCAGGAACCTGGGATCATGACCTGAGCTGAAGGCAGACGCTTAACGACTGAGCCACCCAGGCGCCCCTAGTTCCAGAATTTTTCATCATTCCACATGGAAACCCATTAGCAGTTACTACCCACTCCCTCTTCCTCAGCCCCTGGCAACCGCTAAGCTGCTTTCTGTCCCTATAGATTTGCCTATTCTGGGTGTTTCACATAAATAGACTGATACTAATGTGTGGTCTTTTGTGTCTGGCTCCTTTTACTTAGCATGATGTTCTCCAGGTTCATTTATTGTGTTAGCATGCATCACTACCTCATTTTTTTTTTTTTAATAGTCAGGTAATACTCTGTTGTATGTACAGACTACATTGGGTGTAACCATCAGTTAACAGACATTGGGGTTGTCTGCACCTTTGAGCTATTGTGAATATTGCTGCCCTGAGCATTCTCATACAAGTTCTGTTTGAACACCTGTTTCAATTCTCTTGGGTATACACCTACTAGTGCAATTGCTGGGTCATATGGCAACTCTATGTTTAAGTTTTTGAGGAACTGCTAGGCTCATTTCCTTTTGGTCCATCATAGACCCTGTGAAGCTTTAAAGCTCTCAGTACCTGGCTCCCCAAAGAACCCCCCTCTCAAAGGCATCTCCTCTCACTCAGAATAAAGCCCCGAACTCTGCATGTGGCCCAGAGTAGTTTCAGCTGGCTCCCACCAAACTCTCCACTTTTGCTTCCTCCTGGGCTCCCTCCCACTCCTTAGTCTCCAGCCACAATGGCCTTTCTGTCCCTTTAACACACCAAACTTTCCCCTGCCACAGGGCCTTTGCCCATGCTGCCCCCTCTGTTCAGGACACTCCTCAGACCTCAGTGTCTGGGTCACTCTTGCCTCAGATCTTTGCCTGGTGGGCTCTTATTTGTCCTTGAGGACTTGGCTCACTGTCCCTTCCTGAGAGGCCTTCCCATCTAACATCCCACCATTCATGCCTGGTCCCACCAGCCTTTCATTTTCCCCACAGCATGAATGGCCATCTGAGATTCGTTCTGTGGACTTCGAGGCTATTCCCCCGAAGGCTCACAGGTGCTTGGCAGGTACTTGCTGAGTGACAGGATGGGAGTGAGCATGGAGATGAACAAGGTCGGGGGTCAGGTGGCCCACCTCTTGCCCCTTATGCTCACCTGGAAGGCCAGCTGGCAGATGGGGCCCATCCATTCCTGGCGATGCTGCGCGGCCAGCAGGTGGCTTCGCTCTGTGGTGGTGAGCAGGAAGGCACCAGTGTCCTTGGGGCAGCTCTCACCGTCAGCCGGCAGCACAGACACACAGTCAGCCAGGCGGATGATCCGCCGTTCCCCACGCCGGCTGGGGCCTGCAGACCTGTCACATGCTGGCCCCAGGCCACCATCCCGGACCTCCCAGCTCTCCAGCCGTGCCACACCTGATGGGCTTCCTGCATACAGCAGACCCCATACCTTCCGCCAGGACTTCTGTGGGAGATGAGGATAGGGGAAAAGACCCTTGGGTGGCAGTTCTCCCTGTAGCTCAGCTCAGCACACACTGCTCAGCAAGTGCTCCTGGCCACCCTGGCTGGCCTCTGCTTCCCCCAGATCCGCAGGTCCCAGAGAAGGGGGCCCTGCCAGGGCCAGCCCAGCAGGGGGGAAGAGTCTGTGCTGGCAGGCGGTCAGCTGTGGGTTCAAGTCCATCCCACCAATTGCCTAACTGTGACCCCTATGAGCACTAGTGTCCTCATATCTCAAAAGCCCTGAGAACGCAAGGTTGGGGCTTCTATTGGATCATGTCCCTGACGTGGTTGAAGCAGACCACCTGACGCTACGATTGTATTGGTGCCCCCTACGCCCTCTCCCCAAAGAAAAGGTCACTCGGGCCATGGGACAAGGGCTGAGCAGGAGGGAGGCCTCGGTCTCATAATGGCAAGGAAGGAAACATGCAAATAGTGTAAAGCAAAGGAAACAGACTGTTTATCTGCCTGGGCAGCAGCTGCAGCTGAGCTGTGAGGGTGAAGGGCCTGCTGCCTGGGGAGAAAGGCAAAGCCCCCAACTGTGTCCTGTAACAGGGCTAGGAGGAGCTGAGCCCTCGTCTGCAGGCTGGTGCTCCTCCGACTCAGCCCCAGCCTTGTCCACAGGAGCCTGGGTGCCTCTACTACACAGGGCGGAAGGCTGTTGGGTTAGCCAGCCTCTCAGCTCTGCCCTGCCCCAAGGTTTGGATTCTTAGATCCTCCCCGCGCTTGGCTTCCCCATCCGCAAACAGGACAGGCTCTCCAAAAGGCCCACTCAAGCTGAGAATGGGGCTCTGCTCTACTCCCCAACACCTTGGTTGGGTTCCCCACCCTGACTCCTTCCCCATTCTCCCAGGTCCCGGTGGGCTGAGGCTGCCGCCTACTGTCCTGATCAAGCTGCCTGGCAGCCAGGGTCCCCACCTTGCCGAACTTGATGTGCTGCTGATAGAGGATGCCGTCCTTGATGGGAGTCTCCCGAGGCTCCATGGCCGCTGCCAGGCCCCGGGACTGCCACTCCGAGGGCCTGATGAGACTGGTGACAGGCCGGAGGGGAACTCCTCACACTTCCCCTTCTGGCCACTTCCCCCTCCCTCTGTCCAGAGAGGCAGCTGCAGGGCTGGGGGGAGGGGCGCCCGTCTTCAGTAAAGGAGCTAGGATAGGGGTGGGGACATCACATATTTCTTCCTCAGGGTCCAGCTGGCCCAAGGCGCCCACGTGTGCCTGGCCGGGGCCTCAGACCCCCGGAGGGCGGCTGACCTCTGCCTGCACCTGGGTCAGCTGGCTGTGAGTCATAAGCTCCGACCTCTCCTCTGAGCAGGACAGTCGCACACCCTGGCACCTGACGTTCCCGCGGCCCGGTCCCTGTCCCAGGACCTCCTCTAGCCAGACTGGCCTGCTCCTTGCTTTCCCCACTCTTGAGCCCTGGTTGGTACCCTCTCAGTGCCGCTCTGCTGGCCTTTATCCTGGAAATATTTCCAATATTCACCTGCTCCCCTGTCTTCACAGTCCCTGTCCATTACCAGCCTCTCATCTCCCCTTTGAACCACTGCCTGACAGGGCTCATTGTGGTCCTTTCCACCAACCCCAAACCAACCCCTCTGACTACCCCCTGCCCTGGGGTGTAGCCTGGGCTCCTCAGCCCTACACTCAAGGTGCCCTGTCCTGGCCTCCACCTCCCCTTGGCCCAGTGCCTCCCAGGAACCCCTTACCACTGTGCCACTTGATAGCTGGGCTGCCCAATCCCCTGGGGAGGTCCCCCTTGAGCACCCCACGCCGAGCACAAAGGCCCCACCAGTGAGCCCGTCCTCACGGCATGGCCCAGTCATGTGAGCGTGAGTGGCATGCCCCCATTGGGTCCCTGGAGAGATCACATGCTTTTTTTAAACTTCTTCTTGCTAGGCATTTTTTTTGGGGGGGGGGCCCTCACCTTGCTGGAGGCTACTAATGGGGCTCTGAGTGTGTGTCTGAATTCTGGGAACAGCCTCCTGTCACTCATTCAATGCCACCTTTAGGCAGGCATGTGTAACCAGGCTGAGCAATACTCTTTAGGGTCGCATATGGGGTGTGGACAGAAGTCTTTTCCATGGGCCTCTCCACCCGGCTTTGTGTCCCTTGCAGCCTGGGCAGCCCCAAGCTCCAGCAGCCGGACAGTCTGTTCTTTGCATTCTCATTGCCATTTCAATGATGAGGAAATCGAGGCTCAGAAATATTAAGTAACTTGCCCAAGGCCAAACACCAAGTGACAAACATGACTTGAGCAACTGCTGTCCTGCTGGGATAAGCATGTGGTCTTGCACATGAAGTGCCGGGCCCCGAGGACTTGCTGCCCATCCCTTGCCAGACGTGGAGATCCTGCGCCATCTGCCACCCCCGTTATTCCCATCTCCTGTCTCTCCCACTTACCTATGAGCCTCCCAGCAGGCGTCTGCCTGAATTGCCTGGATCCTGAGCCCAACAGACACCCAGGCACAGGGTGAGATCAGTGAGTGCTAGCTGCCTGAGTGGTGGTCCTGTGGCGTCTGCTGCCCCCTCAGCGAGGTGGACAGAGGGTTCCCCACTGGGAGTCTGTGCGGGCAGGCAAGTGGACAGGGGGCCTGAGGCAAGAAGTCGCCTCCCAAGGGGCTCCGGGAGCTTCATACAACTGACAGGAAGAGGGAGGCTGGGGCAAGTTTGGAGATTATAAGAGCCAACCAGAGACCAGAAAACCCAGCCATTTCCCCCGGGGCCCACCAATGCGGTCTCTCCCCGAGCCACAAATCCAGCTAGCCCAGAGGAGCTACCCAAAGCTCCCAGCAGGGGGCCCCAGGTACGTGGCTCTCTCCACAACCAAAACCCAGCCGGCCGTGTTGGCAGTAGCGGTGGGAGATGCCAGTTCCCCCGCCTTAGAGGGGCTACGGAGGTCAGAGGGTGAGGCCTGTCCAGGAAGCAGGGATCAGGGAAGGCGAAACACAGAGGCAGGGCTGGGCTGAGACCAGGGAAGCTTGTGCTTTAATGACAGCTGGGGTAAAGGGGAACAAAAATAGTAATTCTGGGGGACACAGGGAGCAGGCAGCCAGGCCCAGCCTGGCCCAGCCCAGGCCAGCTGGGCCAAAGATGCTGGCTTTTTGTCCAGGGGGCTGGTGTGTGTAGGAGGTGGCTGGAGACTGAGGTCTCTTGGAGACAAGGGATGACAGAAGGCTCAGAAGTCCATGGAACTGTGGGCCAGGTAGTCCTTGCGCCCGATGTTGCTAACCTGCTTGGTCTGCATAGCCTCGAGTTTGGGGCAGTCAGTGATTCGATGGCCCAAGCCCCCACAGAATGCACAGCCACGCTCTCCTGGGGGCATGGGGGTGAGAGTCAGCAGGACTGCAGGACCAGGCTCCACACCCCAGACCCTGGCTTCCCATTAGAGCCCTCCCTCAAGTCCTCTGATGTGCGGCAAATACTTGTTTTGTGGTGCCCTCGACATGTTCCCCTGCCCCCCGCCCGCACCGCCCCGGGGTCTCCTGGCCAGCGGTCACCTCCAATGTCCAGCATGGACTCATCCCCACAGTGCAGCACTTGTAGCACAGGGGGCACCTTCTGCTTAGCCTCCAGCAGCAGGGCTTTCAGGTCCATCAGCACCGACTCGTCTGTGGGGGTAGGAGGGAACCATGAGGCCCAACCCTAGGCCCTGCGGCCAGGACCTGGGTAGCCACAGGCAGAGGACCCAGGGCACAGCTGGGGTGGCCCTGGTGGCAGCCTTACCACAGGCCTTGTTGATGAAAGTGGTGGCGATGCCTGTGTTTCCTGAGCGCCCGGTACGGCCGATACGGTGCACTGCAGAGAGGGAACAGAACCTCTGGCCTACTGCCCAGGGGCTGGGGCCCAGCCCGCACCCCTGACACCTTGCCCCCCACCCAAGCTCCCCACCGTAGTTCTCGATCTCCTCAGGCATGTCATAATTTATGACATGCTGGATGGCAGGGAAGTCCAGGCCCTTGGAGGCTACGTCTGTGGCCACCAGGACATCCTTCTTGCCCTCCCGGAATGCCTCGATGGCCTTGGTCCGTTCCTCCTGGTCTGGGGAGGGTTAGGCAGGAGCTGTTAGAGTGACAGGAGTCTGGGGAGTAGTGGCGGGCCTACTAGGCAGGGAGAGGGATTAGGTGAGGGCAGCAATGGCAGCAAAATCCATGCCTATGTGTGCACTACCCCCTGACCTTTGCCCCCATGGATGGCCACCGCCTCGACCCCCTTGAGCAGCAGGTACTCGTGGATGGCATCCACATCTGCCTTCTTCTCCGCAAAGATGAGCACCTGTCCAGGAAAGCCAACTTCAGTCATGGGGGCTGACCCCAACCGGGCATGCCCGACCTTCTCCAGCATGCTGCCCCCACTGCCCCCTCCCCTTCATTCCAGGGGTCCTCAGCCAGCCTGGTGGGCTGCACTTACGGGTGGGGGTGTTTTCTGTAGGCACTCAAGCAGGTATACCATCTTGGCCTCCTCCTTGACATATTCCACCTCCTGCCATCACAGGGGCCAGGTCAGGTGGGCCTGCAAATGGGCTCACCAGCCCTGGCCCTGCCACAGAGCCTGGGCCCCCAATCCTGGCTGGGAGGAAACCAGAAGCCTCTTGCCATAAAGCACTGGCTGCCCTAAGAATGTTTCCTACTAAGGGCTGGGGATTTGAATGAAACCCCCAGTGCTCACAAGGTGGCCCCTCAACCCTACTCCAAGAGCTTCAACGCGGCCAGATCCAACCCCCACAAGTGAGACCCTGCTCATGAGGAGTGCCTGCCCACCTGGATGACATCCAGGCTGGCGGCCCCAGCGCGGCCCACGTTGATCGTGACCGGCTTTACCAGGGCACTCTTGGCAAAGTTCTGAATCTTCTTAGGCATGGTGGCACTGAAGAGTAGGGTCTGCCGCTGGCCCTGAGGAAGAGTAGGGCTAGGACTGAGGGCATGTGAGGCCTGGGAAGGCCGAGTAGCTGGGATGTAGCCCCCTGAAGCAGGGGCAGTGGGTGGGCAGTGCCAGGCCTCAGGGCCTGCCACAGTTGAATGGGGTGTGGTGGGGAGGGTGGCAGGAATGCCCTAGCCAGGCAGGGACGGGCACCTTGAAGTAGGAGAAGATGGTGCGGATGTCGCCCTCGAAACCCATGTCAATCATGCGGTCAGCCTCGTCCAGAGCCAGGTAGCGGCAGATGTCTAGGCTGACCATCTTCTTCTGCAGCAAATCCATGAGGCGCCCAGGGGTGGCCACCATCATGTGCACACCGCTGGGGATCAAGAGGACCCTGAGGTCAGGGCTACCCACCCATCCCTGCACCTAAGGGCTGGCATTCTGCTCATTCTGCCCTCTGGCCTCTTTCCTGTCTCTCCTCATCTGTCCCTTCATCACGTCCACCACCCTGCCCTACTTGTAAAACATGTCTCTTCTAGAAGGGGCTGCAACCTTCTTGACTACTGCTCTGCTCCAGAGCTCCTCCCCAGCCATGAATCAACCCTGCATACCCTTCCCTCTCTAGAAGGAGGGTGATCCTGAATCTCCACATAGGCCTCAGTATGTGCTCCCGCAGCTCCCTTTGTAGGCGTTGATGGGCTCACTTCCCTGGAATGCTAACTTAATCTTTTCTGTATCTGAATCTTCCCTGAGACCGGGAATGCCTTGGAAAGAAGGGCTTGAGTGTGGCCTGTCCGTGACTCCAGAGCCTGGTCCAGGGCAATTAGCATTGTCTGCTGGAGACTACACCGTGTGGAAAGGCCATGGATCTGGCCCTGCCCTAGTGTCTCAGCCTCCATGCTGGACCACACTGAATGACCCTGACCTTCCTGGACATCCTGGGTCCCCCACCTCTGTCTCTTCTACCCAGAATGCCCTGACCCCTGACCTCCCAGATACCCCCATTCCATCTGTTGTGCTCCCACAGTACCTTACCACATCCCTCTGTCCCACCCCAACTGATCTCCCCATGAGACAAGGAACTCCTTGAGGACAAGGAAGCTTCTGGAAGGGTCTGCAAGGGTAGCTAAAGCAAAGGACCCTTTAGCTTGTTGAGGGGCTCTGGGGAGGCCCACAGGGTGGGGGTGCTTATGCTCACTGTCGGATGGTTTCCATCTGCTCTTTAACAGACATGCCCCCGATGCAGAGAGCGCAGCGCAGGAGTGGGGAGCTGTCCTCCTGCAGCAGGCGGCAGTAATACTCCAGGATGCCATGGGTCTGCCGGGCGAGCTCCCGCTGTAGGAACAGGGCAGAGGTTGGTACCAGAAGGCAGTCCTGTCTCCGCTCTGTCTCCAGCCTGGTCTGTCTTACCGAGGGGCAGATGATGAGTCCATAGGGCCCTTCACGCTTGGAGAAAGGTAATCTTTTTTCTTGTTCCAGGCAGAACATGATGACAGGCAATGTGAACACCAGTGTCTTGCCTGAACCCGTGAAGGCGATACCTATCATGTCACGGCCAGATAGACTGTGGGGAGAGGAGAGGCCTGAGGATCAGGTTCAGCAGGATGTAGGGAATGAGTCTCCAGATGGACACCTAGTGACTGCTCCTCCCCATCACCACCCTCTTCAGGGCCCCCAGGTCCACACTCACATGGTGGGGATGCCCTGGATCTGAATGGGTGTTGGGTGGTGGATGCCTTTCTTCTTTAGGCCTCTCAGGATGGCTACGGAAAACAATCTCAGTATCATCCTTGTGTCTCACAGATACTTTATCAGGCCTCCCAAAGCTGTAAAATTGGCACTACTCCCACTCCCTTCAAGTTACAAATGAGGCCCAGAGAAAAAGAGAAAAAGAAAGACTTGTCTAAGATCTCTAGGATAACTGGAGGGAGGATTTACACCCAGGTCCACTTAAGGCCAAGATCACTTGCCCACTGAAGCTCCCTAATGGCAGAAAACAGTGAACAGGTACAGCTGGGGCAACTGAAATTCAAACCTAAGTCCCTCCATCTCCACTGGCTAGACCCATCGCTGCAGATGCTGAGCTCAGCGGGGGCTGGGACACAACCTCACAGTTGTTTGACTACCAAAGTTCCCAGGTACCTGCAGGAAATTTCATTTCCTTGAAGCTCTTGATGGGTGGTGGGATGCCATCTCCTTCCACCAGGATGTGGTACTTCTTCCGGACGCGTTCATGCCGCTCTTCAGACATGCTCAGGACATAACGGGGGGGTGTCCAACTGTGAGTGCGTGGTGGGGGTCAAGAGAGGCCCCGGGCACAACTGGCTGTGGGGTGCACCTGCCAGTCTCAGCCTACTACCATCCCAAGTAAAAGTGACTGCCTTCCCACAGACTGAAAAACATACCTGGTTTTGATCGGATCATCATATGTGATTCCCTTGGCCATTTCCTTCACTGACATCAAGGCTGAGGAAACAGACGAGGCTCAGGGCTGGCTCTTGCTTCCCAGAGGCCAGGCCCATGAGATATAACATGCCTGGGGTTTGGGGAGGAGGCTCGGTCCACCTCCCCCTCTGCCCTGGCTACAACCATACCTCGGCCCTCAGCCACACTCTCCAGGATCTTTTCCTCTTCTTTCAGCTGCTTCTCCTTGGCAGACTCCTTGCGGGCTGAGGAAAGTAGCAGATGTCAGACACCAAAGCACTGTACCAAGCTGAGCCTCCCCGCTGCTTTCCAGCCCACCTTCAGCCTTCTCTTTGAGGTGCTGGTGCTGATCCAGGAGGCTGACGTTGGACTGAGGGCCCAGCGGGATATCGTCCTCATCTCCCCGGGGCTCGCTGCCGCTGTCCTGCTGCTCCTCCTCCGCAGCTCCTTTGCGCCTTCGTTGCAGTAGCTTCTGGAGCTGAGGTTCCACCAGCGCCCCTCAGAGCCAAGCCCAAAACAGAGCGGAGCATTGGGCCCAGGGGGCCTGCGTCAAGATCTTGGCTTTTGGTAAAGGGATCTGTACCCTGCGACCTCAGATCAGGTTGCCCGTCCCTCGTTCGCCAGACGGCCACTGTCCCGAGTACTGGCAGCTCGCTCCACTGGCGGCCACCTCTCCCCAACCCCGCCCCCCGATCCCACGCCCTCATTCCTCTTCCGAACCGGGGCCCTCACCAGTAGTTGCCGGCGCTGTCGCAAAGGCACGTAAGGCACGTAGTCTTCGTCATCCTCATCCTCCGTCTCGGAGCGGCTTCCTGTGGCAGTCGCCTCGTCGGTGCGAGCCCGCTACAAATACAAAGAAGTCAGGCCCAGGCCCCCCGCTTTCACTGCCGCTCGCCACAAGCGCGGACCCCTGTCTCGCTCCTACCTTCCGCTCGGGTTCCGAGTCCTCCATCCTTTGCTGCACGCATGCGCGCTACGGTAAAACCCCGCCTCAACTTTTGAGTGAAATCCAATCAGATGTGAAGAAGCGGAACGTGGGCGCCTAGCAACGACCTCTGAATGCCGGATCGCGCAGAGGGACAAACTTTCTTCTGAGACCCTGTCAGGCAGCGCGGCGTCAAAGTCCCTTGGGCGGCTGCGCATTTGTTGCCAGGGGCGAGGGCAAAGCGTCAGACAATGCATTATGGGACGCTGGAGGATTTGGAGCATGCGCTAAAGGCTCAAACGAAGTCTGGTGGAAGAAGGTCCCTGAAGTGGAGACCGGGGATCCGGAAGAGGCCGGCTGGCCAGCTGCCCAGCCTCGCCCAGAGTATGACGTCATCAGGCACGTTCCGGGACAGGGCCAGCTGGGATCCCGCTCGGGCCTCCATCCCGGGCACGGGCGCGGGGACGGGGTGTGGCTTGCGGAAAAATGAATCAACTTACACTGCAGCTCTGACTGGCGTCCTCATCTATGTGAGACAACACGTATGTTCAGAGTGGTGAGGGATAAATAAAATGCTGGTGACAAGTGTTTTTTCGCCGAGGGTCTGTACATACATATGGAGCGATTATTATTGTAAATGCTATAATAGAGCTTAGAGTAACTCACTGGGGAACCAGAGAAGACTTCAAGGAGACCTGAATCTGAGCTTCCACAGGTGTAGAGTCTCAGAACAGGGAGTGGAGGAAAGAGAAGTTTTCTGATTGAGGGTGCTGTAGGAGTGAAGGCCTGGCCATGTGCAAGTAGATTCCTCAAAGAACAAACAAACCACGTGGCCGGCTCCTGTGGAGTGGGGGTGGCCAAAGCTAAAGCTGGATACGTAGGCTGGGTGGCCCAGAGCATGCAGGGCTGACTGTCAAAGTAACTTAAACTTCACTGAGTACTTTATTTGTATTTATTTTTAAAGATTTTATTTATTTTGAGAGAGAGCTCGAGCGGGGGCGAGGGGCAGAGGGAGAGGGGGAGAGAGAATCTCAAGCAAACTCCACGCTGAGCAAGGAGTCTGACATGGGGCTGGATCCCACTATGCTGAGATCATGAACTGAGCCAAAATCTAGAGTCAGAGGACTGAGCCACCCAGGTGCCCTGCACAGGGGACTTTTAAAGAGGAGTGATGCGTCAGTACTATTTTTTCCTTCATTCATGTATTTATCATCAGCACACGCTGGGCATTGTGCACAGTGCTGAAGCAGATAAAAGATGAACAAGATACAAACCTGGCTTGTGAGTTTATGGATTAGTTGAGGAGACAAAAATATAATGGGTCTTGAGGTTAAGGAGAAATATTCTAAGACAGATAGTTGTCCTTTTGGAGGCATCACAAGGCAGGGCAAACAGATTCTCCTAGTAAAAGTGGCCTTTCAGCTGGAATGTGAAGGATAAGCAGGACACAATGAAGGAAAGGTAATCTGGGAAGAAGGAAATGTGAGCCAAAGTTGGGAGACCTGAGGGTGCCAGGCCTAGAGGGAGACTGAGGTCATCTGGTGTGGCTGGAGTGAAGTGCTGGGAGGCAGGGGCCAGGCATGGAAGGCTCTGAATGCCACCCACACGTCTTTCTCTGTAGGTAAAGCAGCTCCTTGATCAGACAGGCAATTTTTGAATGATGAAGCAGAATTTTAGGTAGCTATGCCAGTTCGACTCCAGGGCAGGAGCCTGGTGCAAGACTTGAAGGGAGAGAGGAACACAGATAATATGTATAGAGACAGGTTTCACAGGGGCATATGCAGACTTCCCTGGGAATTAGGAAAGGCCAGGGACCAGGAATTGTGAGCCTTGAGCCTGTGGCGATGCTTTTTAACTTCTTTAGAAGAGGAAGCTGGCACTGACTGCCCATGGTGGGGTTCATCCTGGGAGGAGGTGGAAAGGGGAGGGAATGGTTTCTTTTTTCTTTTTTTTTGAAGATTTTATTCATTTATTCATGAGAGAGACAGAGAGACAGAGGCAGAGACAGAGGGAGAAGCAGGCTCCCCAAGGAGCAGGGAGCCCGATGCGGGACTCGATCCCAGGATCCTGGGATCATGACCCGAGCCAAAGGCAGACGCTTAACCATCTGAGCCACCCAGGTGCCCAGGGGAATGGTTTCTGATCCTGCTTCCCAACACTCTGTAAAGGGCTCTTAGTGACTGTGTGGCCACAGCCTCCACTGCTCCCCACATAAGCTCAAGTTAAGTGTCAGTTTGAGAAAACGACAACAGGGACAAGGATTTGGAGCACAAGTGTGTGTGAGGCATTTTTTTTTTTTTAGCAAACCTGTAATATTAAAATCTGAATTTATGAACCAGATCTGCAGGGGGTGGGAGATAGGAATGAGGTAGTTTACTTTACTTTACAGAAGGGTTCATTATTTGCAACTCTGAAGTACTTAGGCTATGTGTGTCATTCCCACTGGAAAGTCAGATCCAATTTCTAGAAACTCCATTTACTCCACTTCCCTTGACAATGTCAATAACCCAGGCTAAAGGAGCAGTCTGTAAAGGCCTCAAGCCTTTCCCAGACCCCTTCTCATAGCAGCTGCACAGAGACCGAGTCTCACTCCTCCATCTCGCAGAGGGGGAAACAGGGCATGGGGAAGGGGCTGTTCCAGGTCACATACCAGAGTCCTGCCACTAGGAGAAAGTACACAGATGCTGCTGTTATACAGGCCTAGGCTCTAACTCTGCTCAGCCAGACTGAGTGCACTAAAGTCACTTTCCTGCCTTAGCTTTAATTTCCTCATCTGTAAAATGGGATAACAGCCCCATTTAGAACAGTTGTGGAATTAAGTGAAAACTGCCAAACTGCTGACACATAATATCTGCTCAGTGAGGCTAATGACCAAGGCAGATCCCATGCTTCTGAGTACATTCCTCACCTCACCCCCGCCCCAGACCAGCAAACCATCAACACACTGACTCTGTGTCCAAATGTTGCTTTATCTTTCTGCAGGAAAGATCTTCACAGTATCAAAAGTAAAGAATTGAAAAACAAGAACAAAAACAAAACCAAACACAAAGAGAGCAGTGTTGGGCCAGCAGTACCATCAGCCCCCGGCCCACAGGCCAGTCCAGCCCCCAGGCTCTGAGTGAGGAGGCTGGGTAGCACCAGGAAGCGGCTCTGCGGAGGTCCTGAGGGGCCCCAGCACGGCACAGCATCCGTTCAACTTTTGGTTGGTCCAGGATGGCGAGGAGCAGGGAGGATCGTGGGCAGGTGGGTAGGGATGTGGAGGAAGAAACTGTAGACCTTCAGCTGGCAGTTGGGGTCTCAGGACACCCTGAAGCAGCTCGACCCGGCAGGGGGCTGAGAAAACAGAGCATGGCCATACCGTGAGCGATCCTTTGCCTGAGCCTCCCTGCGCTGGCTCTGGGTTTCCATGGATCCCCGTGGGTAGGAACAGCTGCCTGCTATTTTTGCTCCCTGGGCTGAAAATACTGAATAGACTTCCTTGATTACCTTTAGCAGAGGATGCAGGTTAAGACCCTGCCAGGGGACAGCTCCCCTGGCACACATCTATCCCAGCCAGGGTGGTCTAAGAGCCCCGCCTCTGGCCTTTGCTGTCCTGCTGACCAGCAGGGGAGAGGCAGCGTACGCACTCGGGCTCCGGGTACGCAGCCCAGGCTAGGTCCCGAATCTGCGCCTGCACTGCTTTCTCACACACTCTCCGGGCTCCCAGTCCCACTCAGAGGAGGGTGGAAAAGGTCAATGGAGAGCCCTCAGAGTCGGGTGGGGCAGGGAGGAAACATCTTCTGCTTTGCAAAAGAGCTCAACCAAAGAGGGGATCCCCGAGAGAAGATGGCTGAATGAGGTTTCCTGGCTGAGAGGGGCACTGGGCTGGGGGAGGGGTGTGCCCCTTTTTCTCTAAGAAGAGGCAACAAATCAAAGTGCCTGGGGTCCCCATAACTCCTGGATCCTGTGGAAGTGGACAAAAGGGGCAGGAGGGCACCCTGGCCCTGGCAGAAGCTCCTGAGGGTGTGGACATTTCAGTTTGGCAAAAGATGAGGGAGCCTAGCCCCTTCAGAGAGAGGGGCTGAGGTGCGTCTAAAGATAGTCCTGACTCCAGGCAGCCCAAGGTGCCATAGGGAGCCCAGCCCCAAGGGTGGGGAATCCTAAAACCAAAAGAGGACAAGGAGACTCGGCTGAGGGTCCAGGAAGTCTGCTGCCCGACCCAGAGAGGAGCTGTCCTGGCACTGAGAAGAGAAGGAGGAGGAGGACAGGTGAGGACATCCTCCCGGGGTTCCCTGAGTTCAGCTCACCTGCCCCAGTTTCCTGTTGCTTTAAGGGCAGTTGTGTGGTTGCCAGCCAGAAAAGGCCTGATCCCAGGGACAGAGCACAGGGTTATGTTCTCAGTCCAGAACATCATCTGATACGTCAGTATTTCACACAAAAGGACTTGTGTAGGTGGTTGGGAGAGGAGCCCTGAGCCCAGCTGGGGGCCAGGTGTCTTCTTCAGGAGGCAGCTTAGCTATTAATTTCTTCATGGGGCTTCTCCTGTTTGGGGAGAGCACTTACCACCTCCTCCATGCCTAAATGACCTCACTGAGGCCTTGGTCTAGCTCATCTGCCCTCTCACTGGTCCTTTGGGGCTACCACATCTTACATGGCTTTAGCTGGGAAGCACCTGGGTAGCCTACCAGGCTGGGCAAGTGAGATTCAACCCTGAGGCTAATATTGTCAGGGGTGGGGGCAGTCCTCTGGGGATTAAGGCTGCCTAGGCACTTGAGAGGCAGCCAGTAAGGGAAGTAGAGGCCTGGTGGAGATAGCCCAGGGATGGAGATTCAGGAACATAGGCAGGAGGGCTCCCAGGAGGCTCTGGCCCAGGAGGGAGCGATGAAAGGACAGAGGCCTAGGGGTGAGTGGCCACAGGAGAAGAGATGGGGCCTGTGTCTGCAGAGCGCATAGCTGTCACTGTGGAGGTGCAGGGGCCCAGGGCTGGCAAGCCACTAGCCCAACTCCGTGCCCCAGAGCATGAAATGGTCTGGTGGGGACACAGAAGGTGACAGAACTTGGGGAAAGGGAGTACATGCAATGCTTGGGGGTCTCCATACCTCACTGAGCTGTGCTGGGAGTGGTTTTCTTGAGGCTGAAGTTGGTCCAGTTCACAGCAACTTTCTGGCGAGTTTGCTTTGCAGAATCCAAACAGAACCTATTAGGTTTGAGAGAGAGCAGAAAAGCATAATCAGAGGTACCCCTCTCCCTGCTGGACCCCACTTCTAGACCCATGTGTCTTGGTCACTAAAGGAACCAAGTCAGCTCTGTACAACTCCTGTGGCTCCAGGGTATTGGGGTCTAGCAGGTTATGAGAGCTTTGCTGGCTTTCTGGACAGGGTGCCCATGAGCCCAGGGAACAGCGTATGAAGAGAGTGACACTGCCTCGGGATACAGGGTGGCTCCTCACGCTGTATTTTACTCTGGCTACACTGGGCAGCCTTCTGCAACCCTAAGTACTGCGTGTTGTTTTCAGCCTGAAACCTCTGTGCCTACCAGCTCTGCTGTCACAAAGGCCCTGTTTGACCTGGCCTATTGGTTCTTACTTCTCAGATCTTAGCTTGGTTCCCACCTCTTCTGGGAGCGCTGCCCACCCCTACGTCTCAGCTGGGTCTGCAGCCCCATGCCCTTACTCCTCCAACAGCACTTATCACTGGACTGTGTGTTTATGGCTCTCTCTCTCCATCTAGACTATATCTCATTTGCCTCCAGCCCAGAGCTCAGCCCAGGCAGAGCAGAGGAAGTGCAAGTGAACATACAAAGGGAATAAAGCTGGAGAAAGCCCTGGTTCTTGGGGCCTGACATGCCTCCTTCTCCCTGTCCCTTACCTTCCCAGATGGCCTGTCCTGCTGAGCGGCTACCTGGGTTCCAGCAGATAGACTGGTGGGAGAGAGCCTGGAGAGGCTCTCCTTCTGAGGGTGTCAGGCTGAGGGTGAGCCTGAGTGAGGGTGGGCAAGAAGGCATCCCCACACCTACCTCTTGAAGTACTCCACCTCCCGGTCAGTCTCATCCATCTCCACCCCATCCATGTCCTTGGGCAGGAACACATCGTCTAGGAAGACACAGCCAGGAGGGCTCAGTGCCCACGGCCAGGCCTCTGGGGTCATGCTCTTGGGGCAACACTGCCCACACCGAGGACTACCCTCCACCCTGTGGCCTGGCGGGGTGGGGGGCTAACCACTCAGTTCCTGGTGCACTCACCCAGGGAGGCGGCCGTCTTCTCCTGCTTGTTGCGGCTCCGGCGGCTGCGGCCCTTGCCCTGCGGCAAGCTCTGTGGCCTCGCTGGGCCTGGGGGCTGCATGGACTCCTGCTCCAGAGGCCGTGCTTTGGCCTCACCTGGCCAGTTTCGCCAGGAGCTGCCCTTCTCGTCGGCTTTGGGGCTGCCAGCCCAGCCTGGTCCTGGCTGGCTCCCCCGGCTCCCCTCTCCAGCCTCGGCACAGCTGCCCACTTTGGGAGGCTCCGGGGCCTTGCCTGGCTGCTTGGAGCTGGGGGTCTGGCCCTTGGCACTGGGAGCCTCGAGGCTGGCTGGGGACCGGGGGGCTGGGCTCACCTCGTTCTTCTTGGCCTGACTGCCCTGTCTCTTGCCCTTCCGCGGCTTCCCACTTGAGGCCATAGGCTCGGGCAGCTCCTGCTTGCAACTGGGAACCTCCTTTGGGCTTGGCTCCTCAGGGCTAGGGTTGCCTGGCTTGGGTGTCTTGACCCAGATCACCCGGGAAAGGTTGGGCACGGCGTTGAGTCTCCTCACTAGCCCATTCTCAGGGATGATACCGGGAGGGGGCCCCCTCACCTCTGTCCATGGTGGGTGAGAGCCTCTCATTTCTGTCCACGGTGGGGCTGGCTCACCTGGAACTCGTAGCATGTGGTTCTGAGAGGACCCCAAAGTCAAAGGGGACAGGTCAAGGTTAATGTCAGGCCGTTGCTCTGAGGAGCCATTGAGGTTTGAGGGGGATAGGCTCTGGGACTCTGGCTCAGCAGCCCCCTCCTTAGAGAATCCATTGCTGTCCATGTTGAGCTCACACACACTGAAGCTGGCACGGATAGAGTCCTTGACAGTGTTCTTGATCTCTTGCAGACGGCTGCTCAGGAAGCTGTTGACCCGATCCAGCTCCCGGTCAGGCCACTCCAAGAGCCTCTCCCTGGCAGGCCTAGGCTCCCGGCTTCCAGAAACACTACGATTCACCTGCTTTAGAGCTTCTGCTGCCAAGTGGGCCTTCTCCTTTTCCTGTCAATATAAGCAGCAGTTTCAGCTAGGGCCTGGCACCTGCCAGGTACAATGTGATACCTGACACATCAGCCTGGGGCCCAGCTTTGCAGCTAACTGGCTAGAGGCAGGACCTTGGCCATCCAGGCCTGCTCACCCACCCTGCAGGAGTGAGGATGAAATGCAATCGGATGCGTGTTCTGGGGATGGAGACAGACCCACAGAGAATAGGTTTTTATAGCTTGTTCACTCAGAGCCCCAGTGTGAGTCCTAGGGCCTAAGACCCACTGGGACTCAAAGGGATAGGAATGCAGCTAATTGCACCTTGCCTTCCAGGCCTGAACTTAAGCAATTCATTCATTGGCTGAGTCTCAGTGGACTCATCTGCAAAAGGCAGACAAAAATTCTGGGGTGAAGACCAAAGTGGGGATGCAAAGCGAGGGAGACGGCTGCTACAGGGGCATTCCCTCCAATTCTGCTGGTAGTAGGGGAAAAAAGCTGTGACATCATAGGAGGTCTTTCAAGAAGTGAGACGGGGCTGTGAGACCACCGCGGTAGGTCAGACTACTCTGGGTGGCAGGAATTGTGTACGGGTGCTATGGAACAGGGAGAAATTCCGTATAAAAGCCACTCACCACTCAGCTGCCTCAAGTAATCAAGGCCATGCCTAAAGCGTGCCCAATGGATAGCTATGTGGGGCCCCACAGCAAGATGTAAAAGCAGCCCCTCTGCCCAGGTGAGAACTGGGGGGCTAGACTCTGTCAGTCAGTGTTAACACACCCGGTTCTGGAGAATGAAAGTGAAGTCTGTGGGCTCCGAGTCACTCCATCCCTCTGCCCAACCTCCACACACCTGCAGACCAAGGAGGCCTTTAGAGGGAGACGAGAGACAGATGTCAAAAGCCCACGGGAAGGAGATGGTGGTGCTGGGCCAGGGGTTGGATGACTTCCACCATTTCACGTATTTCTAGCTGATTTGGGAATGGAGGGGGAGAAACAGGAAAAGGAAACTGGGGAGAGAAAAAGAGGGCATGCCACCACCTTAGAGTCAACTTAAAGAGGGTGACCCTGTGCCCCAGTAGGGCTCTGCGATGGACTAGGACCACCACTGTGGGACCTTGGACAAATCACTTACTCTCTCTGAACCTTACCGTCCCCCTTGGTGTATTTGGGAGAAAAACTGCCTACATATACCTCCCGGTGTTGCCTGGACACCTGAGAGGGCACGTGTCCCTTTCCCCAGGTGCTGACGAGGCTCTGACTTGGCACTGTGGTGCTCAAGTGGGGAAGCAGCTCGATCTGGAGCAGGGTTTCCAGCCTTGTGCCATGGAGGTCAAGGCCATGGGGATAAAAGAAGGACTGGAAGGCCCTTCACATCACTCCTCCCCTGTACCAGCACAGCTTTTTTCTGTTAGGAATGGAGATTCCATGCAGGACTTCAATTGCAAAAAAAGAGTTCTGCTGCTAAACAAAGAAGTCTGAAAACAATGAGTTAGAGGGAGTAACATGGAACCACGTGTGATTTGGTAGTGAGAGGAGAGCACAGAACACAGGCTTTCTGTTATGTGCCACGAGCCTGACCCTTTCCACACATTGTCTCTTTTAATCCTCACAATTGCCCTTGTTGCGCCATTATCCTCAATTTGCAGATGAGGACACCTGACTTTGGCACAAATAGGGAACTGGCCCAAGGTTACACGGCTAGAAAGTGGCAGAGTTGGGACAGCACACCCAGGTGTGATCTGCAGTTCCTAGTTCTTTCAGTCCTGTTCGACGATCACTTCTTGACCAGTTTCTATAAGGCACTGGGCTGGGCTCTGGGGGATTCAGCTGTGCATGAGAAGTCTGCTTGCGGACTTGAGTCTGCTGGGGGAGACGGACATGCAAACAAGCTGTTTAATTCTGAGTGATAGTGACAAGAACTACAGGGAAGAAAGCACAAGATGCTCTGGGAACTCAGACTGGGCCATCAGAGGTGCTTCCCAGAGGCGGCAGTAGCTCACTGGGCACTGGAGGGTGACTGGGATCATCCCGGAGAGTGAGACTAGCACTTTTTAGGCAAAAGGAAGAGCAAGTGACTGGGGAATGCGCACATATAATCTTTACAGGATGCAAACATTCACAGGGGGAGCTGGAGCCCAGGTTTCTTTTAGGAGTGGTGGGGAGTGGTAGGCGGGAAGGCCAGGGAGGAGAGACGGAGAGATGAAGCGGGCAAGGTAAGCAGAGGCTGAAGAGCCCTGCAGGCCAGGTTCAAGTCTGGGCTTGACGCTGAGGGCAATGTTTGGCCATTGACGGCTTTTTCAGTAGCAGTAGTAGGGTGGAGAGAAGCGGGTAGTTTGAGCTGTTTGGGAGGTCTCATGGCCAGGACTCGGGGACAGGTGGGGAGATGGGATGAGCCACAAGAACAATACTGACAACCCCTAGCGCGGCCACCGCTTCCCTGACCAAGCGCACTCTGTTGAGCCTTTCTGTGCATCACTTTGTTTCATTCCCGCAACCATCTGAGTTAGGTTCTACTGTTATTCTCATGTTGTGGATGAAGAAACTGAGGCTTAGAGCTGAAGTGATTTGCCCAAGGTCATCCAGCAAGTGTGGCAGAGCCAGGTTTCAAAGTGAGGTCCGATTCCAAGGCTCGCTGCTCCCGATCACCACGACGCATTCCTCCCAGGATGGCACCCTGGGTTCTGGTTCAGGCAACTGGGTGGATGGTGGTGCCATTAACTAGACAGACAATGGAGAAGGAAGAGCAGGCCTCCTTGGAGAAAGAGAACAAGCTCAGTTTTGGATGTGCTCAGTCTGAGTACCAGTGGGGCATTTGTGAGGTGCCCCGTAGCAGCAGGAGTTGTCAAGGTGAAGTGCAGGGAGGAAACCGGTAGACCTAGTGAACCAGGAACACTATCTAGACAGCTTCTCTTTGTCAGGGGGGTGGCCTTGAGGTTCCGGGAGGGTCAGAGGAAAGGAAGAGGAGTCCACGAAGGAGAGAGAAGTCAGAGAAGGTGAGAAATCTAGAGAACACGGCATTCCCATTGTTCTTCCCCTCCCCCACCTGGCTGAGGACAGGGGAGCCAAAGAGAACATGTTTGAAAAGGAAAACCAATACAACATGTGAGATATTGCCTACTGGACAGAGGTGAGACAGGAGGGTATGATTTAGCAACAAAGATGTCACTGGTGGTTCTGTGGAGGGGAGGGAGAGGAAAACAGTTTGCAATGAGCTGACAGGAAAGACAGTGAATGCAGACAACAGTTTTCAAGAAATCTGGCTGTGACGGGAGGAAAGAGATGAGGTGAAGGAGAGAGAGAGGCTGTACACTCAAGGCAGTTTGCTTTCAAAAGAGAGTATAGTGGGCACAGTGAAAGGCTGATGGGAGCCAGCCCAGGAAAGGCCAGAGCCAGAGCAGGAAGCCGAGCTTAAGACTGAGGCAGCGGTAAAGAACTGCACAGCCTTAAGCAGAAGGGGTAACTCTTCCCTCATGACAAGAAGAAAGTCTGCAGGTGGAATGGTAAGATGTTTGAGGGAGTGCCTGTTCACTGGCTTTTTTTCCCTTGCTGAAATAAGAAGTGAGCTCATCTAACAACTAAGAAAAGTGGGGTGGGAAGAGCCTGGGGATTTGAGAAGAATCTGGAGGTCTGACAAAGGGTCTGTGGTGAACAGAAGTGGTGAAGAGCGAGTGGACTAGAGGCCTGCTAGGCAATGTGAGGGCTCAGGCAAGAGGGAGATCACGCGGCCTGGGTGCCACAGATAGATGTGATCCAGTGCTTTCCTAGAGGTGTGGAAGGGGAGAGGCAGGGACGGGTCAAACCCAGGGCTGCGATTTTTCTGAGTGGGTGTAAATGGAAGGGCAACAGGGCAAGGAATTGAGAGTATTGGTAAGACAGTGAGTGAATGATGGTCAAGGGATCTCTATGGCCTGGGAAGAGGAGAAAGGGGCAGGTGACAACCTTCAGTGGATGAAGAGGAGTGGCCAGGAGACTGTAGGTGACAGAGCCAGTGTCAGTTTCAAAGTAGGGTTTAGTACATGAGGGACAGACAGTCACGGTCTGGAAATGGTGTAAGGGAGCAGAAAGATACTCAGCTTTATTGGTCTCCTGAGGTGGGAGAGAATGGGCAGTCTCCACTGGATGGCTCCCAGGGGAAGCTGTGTTTTTGGTGGACAGCCAGACTGTAGTTAAGTCTGAGAGGTAGAGGAAGGACACTGGAGAGGAGGCTGATGCATAAACAGACAACAACAATGACTGCCTATCACATGACCTTGCAACTGTCTGGTGCTGTGTTGTACTCTGGCCTCTAGACTGGACTGGGCAGACAGAAGCTGTGCAGCAAGTTTCTGAATGAGTGCATGGAGTGTGCGAAATGGCAGCTGAGAGAGATGTGCGAGGTACAGTGGCAGTAACGTGGAAGGAGTTACCTGAGGAAGTCTGAAGGAAGTTGCCAGGAGGAAAAGGAGGGGAGAGGAGTTGTTACTGGCATTACCAGCAAAGGGGTAGGGATGTGTGGGCGCAGATTTATGGAAAGCACACCAGGCTTGGGAACTTCAAAGTGTGCCTGCTCGCTGGGACCTAACTGGGAACCACTGCCTTAAGAAGCCAGGGAAGGCTAAAGAGACCGCTGTTGCCCACTGGACACTTCTGGTCAGGCAACACTGGATGGGAGAAAGAAAGTGCTGACCACTTTCTGAAGGCAGCAGTGGGACCCCTTGGCTCACTACTTCAGGCTGCAGGGAAAGGGTCCCGGTTTGTCCTTTGGGCTGGAAAAAGATGTAGAACTGCTGCTGCTTTCCAGAGCACCAGGGCTGTTTGACCACCCAGGACCTGGAGCTAGCTGGTTGTCAAACCCAACTCTTCCGCTGCTGGGCTCCTGAGTGTGGCGCTGTGCAGACGCAGCTGGGGGCAGGCAGGTGAAGAGGTAATGAGGTGGCAGGGGACGAGCTGCCAAGCCCTGGGGCTTGCCTGGGAGCAGGGCTGCCCAGGAATAGCTCACTGGGTTCTCTCCTCAGCCCTCTGAGCTCACTCAGCCCATGGGCTGGGTCATTCCCATGGCTTCAATTACATCTCCAAGCTGGCAACTCCCAGCCCCACACCTCCATCTCCACCTGGAGGTCTCCTGAGAATCTCTGAGTCAATGTTCCCCAACTGAATCCTGTTGTCTTCTGCCAATCCCATCCTTGCTCGGTGAAGGGCACACCATCCTGCCAGTCACCCAAGCAATCACCTGGAAGATATCCCTGACTTCTTCATCTCTGTTCCACAATCAGATCACCAAAGCCAGTCATGTCTGCTTCCCTTGCTCCAGACCCACCATCAATCAGCTTTCCCTGGGCCTCAGTATCCCTTCCGGGAGTGTCACCCCTCCAGGCCACCTTCCATATTGCCACAACGTCATAGTGGCATGCAGATTTGATAAAAGCCCTGCAGTGACTCCCCCTCAGCTACAGGATCAAGTCAAAACTCTTCAGCGGGACCTCTGAGGCCCTTTCGCACCTCTACTAGCTGTCCTGCCTCTCCTCTATTTGAGCTTTGGCTACGCCAAACCGCTGTGAATGTGCTATGCCTGTTGCCAGAATGACTCTCCTGATGAAACTGAACTCACTCCCTGCAACTCAGCTCTCAAGTCAGCCTCTTGGTGAGCCATTTCCAGCGTGCCCAGGCAGGATGGGGGCTTTCCTCATCCCAGGGCTTGTCACATGCTAATGAGCTCGTCCGGTTTTGTGTCAGTCTCTCCACTGGACTGAGCTTCTCCGGGGTAAGAACTTAACTGCATCATGCTTTGGCTCTCAGTATTTGCAGAAGTGTTTGCTGAATGAATAAATGACTGACTGACTGAAGCAAGTCCTGTGCTTTGAGGAATCCAGCAAGCAGCTTCTGAGGCCAGGACTCGTCTTTCCTCCAATCACTGGCCCCAGGCTCCCTGACCCTGATGCCTCCCAAATGCATTCAGACCTTCCCATAGCAGTAAGCTGTGCCAAGGCTTCTGGCAGCCAGCACTGTTCATGCCCCACAAGTCTTGGGGGGTTGGGGTGAGAGATTCCTCAGGGAGGAGAGGCGGTAGAGCTAGGCTCCCCCCCCACACCCACCTTCTTTTTCAGCTTGTGCCGGGCCCGCTTGGCGGCCCTGGCGCTGTTGGGGACTTTGGGCTCCGTGCTGTTGATGAATTCCAGCAGCTCATCCACATCTCGGTGGTCCACGGCGGGCTCCCCAGGGATCCCGCCCAGGGCGCCCCCCTTCACGGGCAGCTCCTCTTTCCGCCTGGTCAGCCTCGAGCGGAGCTTCTCGCGGATCTCTGTGTAATTCCGACTCGTCGGGGCAGCGGGTGGCTGGGGGAGGGGAGGTGCTGACGTTACACCCTGGGCCTGGGAAGCCCGGAGCACTCCCACCCGCTGGCACCGAACGTGTGGTGAGAAGCCAGACAACCGTTCTTCCTACCATAGCCACAAAGGCCAAGTGGCTTCAGCCTCGGCCAGGCCCAGAGCTGAGGCAGCTGTGGGCGGAGGGAGTGGGAGATACGTAACAGCATTGTGAGCACACTGACTCGGGAGCGAGGAAAGCAGGTTTGAGCCCGGGCTTTGTCACTTGGAAGCTGTATGACCTTGGGCAGGTCACTGAGTCTCTGTGTGCCTCGATTTTGTCATCTCTAAAATGAGAATAATAACCCTTAGCTTAAAGGTGACTAACAATGTAATTACGTTCATTTCTTCTGTCCTCAACTGCTCTACCCTAGCCGGCGGCCCTTTCCTCTTCACTTTATGAGACTTCTGAGCTGCTTTTGCCCTCTGTCCAGAGACAGCACGTACTCTGCCCTGAGCCTCCTGCCTGGTGCCGTCTGTGCTCATGGCCCGTCCCTCGCTGGCTCACGCCTGGGGGACCGAGAGCCTCTGCTTCCACTCTGCCTTCATCACGCACAAGTGTTCGCTTCTCTGTGATTACACACGTATGCATGCTCATCAGAATCATAGCTTTCTCTCTGCCATTTCCTTTCCTTCTGCCTAAGGAAAAAAAGTCAATCTTAAGGAGAAACCATGAAAAGAGCAAAGGTAGCAAGGTGTTTAAAAATCCCTACCTCACAAGTGTGCTGTAAGGATCAAGCGAGCGGACACAGGCTGTGAGGACTCAGAGGGTCCCAGTGTGGTTACTATACCCATGAGTGGGGGGAGGGGGTCTCTGGGGAGAGCAGGTGCTCCTTTGGCTCACCCTGACTGGCCCCCAGCCCTCTCTGGCCTGGGTGGGCTCACTCACCGCATTGTGGCCGAAGAACTCACAGTAGCAGCAGTCACAGAACTTTCCATCTCTCTGGTGAGTGGAGGAGGAGGTGCAGGAGCTGCGCTCTGAGCTGCTGTCCTCTTCCTCACCCAGGCCCTCATCTGCCTCGCAGGGCTGGGGGAGCTGGCAGGCCAGGCCGCTGTGCGGAAACCTGTGCCCCTTGCACCCAGGGTCCCTGCTGATGCGGGAGAGAGAGAAGCCCACAGGTGAGGGAGGGCAGGAGCAGGCTGCAGCAGGGGACGCATTGCTTCTGATGACCACTGCTGCGCGGACTACCCTTCATCTGCCTCATCCCATAAAAGCCAAGGCAGTCACACCATATCGGTGCCTCTCACAAGAACAGGGCCAACACGGTCACTGTCCCTCAGGGCCCAGCTCAATGGCATTATTCTGGAAAGGTAGGAACCTTATGTCTCCCATGCCCGCACCCACTGTGTGACCCTCCTGGACTCGGAAGGAGGGTCACAGAGTGGGTGTGTATACCTCCCTATCCTACTGTAGATCACACTTTACTTTGACGGTCTGTTTGCCCACCTGTTTCTGGGACCAGATTGTGCATTCCCTAAGGGCAGGGACTGTTACTTCTATTTTTGGGTCCCAGTGGGCAGCGTAACAACAGTGTATACAGCAGGTGCTCAATAAGCAGGTATCCGAAAAGATTAGTGGGCTGATGGCTCTCCTGGAGCATCCGAAGGAGGCTGACAAGGTCAATTTCATCATCTAAGGTTCTTAGACGGAGTCTGCCCCCATTGGTGGAGCTGCCTTAGTGTGGGGCCTTAAAGTTAGAGAAGTAAATATGCTTTGTGGGCCCGACTCTAAGAGCTACTTAACTGTTTGGGTCTGGTACTCTATTTAGCATATCATTTCTAAGTGTCTCCCAAGTCCTGCAAAACAGATGTTGCTATCCCCATCCTGCAGTGGAAGTAACTTAAGGGTCAGAGTGCTTAACTGCTTTGCCAAGGAGTATCTAGGACTCAGCCTGTGCCTGTGTGCAAAGCTCATGCTCTCCCACTGTACTGCTTTGCCTCTGGACTTTAGGAAGCACTGGGGGCATCATGTAATATAGCTTATTTTTCCAGGGTAAGAAAAGACTTGGGCCCACAAAGTCCCGTAACTGGAGCCAGAAGAGCAAGAGCCCTGGGTTGGCCATCAGAAGCTGGAGTGCCCTGGGGCTGGGGACATGGGGTGGGAGCTGGGAGAAAGGGCAGGATGAGGAGCAGTGAGGCGGCTTGGCTGTTGAGCAAGGAGTAGAAAAGGAGGGGCAGGGACCATTATCAGTGGTACTCAGAGAAGCTTAATCCAAATTGACCATTCTTCACCCACATTAGCAAAATTAAAATACCCACTGCTCCTGAGAATATGAAGAACCTAGCATCCTAATATTGGTGGTTACATCAATTTGGAGCCCTTTGAAAAGCAATTTTTCATTTGTATTAAGAATCCTCAAAAAAGACATCCTGACATCCTTTAAACTGAGAACTTTTTCATTCTGAGGGATCTATTCCAAGGAGTAAAAACCCAAAAGAGGGAAAAAGCTTTAGGCAAAGACATCTTTAGAGAGATTATTTACAGTGTTAAAATACTGGAATGACATAAATCATCAGCAACTGGAAAACAGTGAAGTACACTATGGAGAATATTCTTTAGCCTTCAGCTGAGGTCCAGAAGACCACATAGGAACCAAACAATGAATGCTGAGTGGAACAAGACAACAAAAAACTGTAAGCTTTATAGACACCACCACTACTGTGTGGGAAAGACCTGCAGGGAAAACTGCCAACAGTGGTGGTATTGGGATGGTGGGATTTTAGAATAAGAAAATATAAATGCATACTAAACACAGATCTGATTTATAATACAAAAATACACATTTATCTTCTCCAAAGAATTTTATCTTCCACATCTACATTAATAAACTTCTTCAGTTTCTATTAGAGTTACTTCAGGGAATCCTTAAGCCTGTAATTCCAAACTCAAATACAGATTTGGGTGCAAGGATGTTTATTACAGCCTTGTTTTTAGTGGCTAAAAACTAGAAATGCCCCGGGGTTCCTGGGTGGCTCAGTTGATTAAGTGTCTGCCTTCGGCTCAGGTCATGATCTCAGGGTCCTGGGATCAAGGTCCGCGTCAGGACTCCCTGCTCAGCGGGGAGCCTGCTTCTCCCTCTGCCTGCCGCTCTGCCTACTTGTGCTCTCTCTCTGTCAAATAAATAAAATCTTAAAAACAAAAACTAGAAATGCCCCAATGTCCAGAAATAGGGAATGATAAATTTATGCTAGAGGTATACAATAAGACATTTTGCAGTCACTTGAAAGTTTTTTGAAGAATTTTAACTGGGAAAATGATATATAATGTTAAAAAATAATTACCACAAAAATGTATAAACATGGACCTAATTTATATACAGAAACATCAGAAACAAAATATACTGCAGTGGTAGAAGTTTATCGTTAGTGGGACCTGGGTGGCTCAGTCAGTTAAGCAACCAACTGTTGATTTCGGCTCAGGTCGTGATCTCAGGGTTGTGAAATTGAGCCCTGTGTTGGGCTCTGTGCTCAGCGGGGAGTCTTCTTGTGTATTTTCTCTTTCTCCCTCTGCCCCTCACCTTGCTTGCGCACAGGTGCTCTCTTGCTCTCAAAATAAATAAATCTTAAAAAAAAAAAAAGTTTCTCTTTAGGTCATGAAATTTTTTCTTCATTAGACATCTCTGAATTTTTCCAAGTTTTTTAAAAAACAATAAACATTTACTTCTTTTATGACTGTAAAAACTATACAAAAGACCAAGTCTACCCTTTTTTTATTTTCTAAGATTTACTTATCTATCCTACAGAGAGAGAGAGCGTGAGTGGGGGGGAGAGGCAGAGGGAGAGGGAGAGAGAGAGACTCTTAAGCAGACTCTGTGCTGAGCACAGAGCCCGATGTGGGGCTCCATCCTGGGACCCCAAGATCATGACCCAAGCAGAAACCAAGAGTTGGATGTGCAACCGACTGAGCCACTCTGGCGCCCCTAGAGTCTCCCCTTTAATTTCTACCCCAAAGTTATGGTTTGTAAAGTTTCTCCGAACTCAAGGTTGAAGTTAGCAGGGAGTACGCCCCTCATGCCACTTACTTACCTGTGAGTGCTAGGGAGTTGCTGAGAGCTGGGAGGTGGGAGGAGAGGCCCACTGCAGTGCCCGCTGCAGTGCCCGCTACAGGGGTGGCTGCACCCCGAGAATGGTGGAGGCATCTTCAGGAGTGGCATGCTGGTGGAGGGCAGGTGGGGGGTCTGACATGCCCCTGGGGTGTGGGGGGCGGCAGCAGTGGCAACAGGGCATTCTGAAGCCTGGGCAGGGAAAGGCGCTGCCGGGGCAGCAGGCAGCAGGTGCGGGTGGGGTGGTGAGCCGAAGGATCCGGGCTGAGATGGGTTCAGCGATGCTGGCTGGGGGTGGTGGCCAGTGGGGCTGTTGGGTGGAGCAGTGAGGTCTGAGTGCCGGTGGTGCTCCGAGAGAGAGAAAACCTCACCTGTGGATGGTGAAGAAGGGGGTCAGAGTGAGAGCCAAGACCCTGGGAAGGAAAGCCCAAGGGCTCACTGTCACAACATCCTGCTTACTGTGATCAGAGGGAACCTGCCTGGGGACAGCCTCTCAGCACTGCGGACCAAGTCTAGCAGTACCTCGGGCTGGAGAGTTTTCCCTGCAGGGAGCAACTTGGCTGGACAGACCTGAGGACCCCAGATCTAAGAGAAGGACCCAGGAAGGCCACACCACCTCTGCTGTGGCACAAACAGGGGCTATGTGCTCTGTGTCTTGGGGTCTCTCTAGGACTTGCGTGCTTGTAGGCATTCCTCAGGCCCAGGAAAGGGTCTACAGAAGCCAGTGGAGCAGCAGGCCAAAGCTCTGCCTCTGGGCCATGAGGACTGAGGCAGCCAGGGTATGCCAGACTCCCAGGTGGCCCCAGATATCAGAGAAGTGGGAAGAGGCTCTGATGAGTCTTCTTTGGCTTATGCATCAAAATAAATGGAATTCTACTCCATTCTCACAGCTCAACTCTCACAAAGGGGAGCAGCACCCCTGTGGAGAACTCAGGCCCTCAATTTTTTATTCATCTTCTTATGTATTTTAATTCCAGTATAGTTAACCTAAGAGTGTTATACTAATCTCAAGCCCTCAATTTAGAAATAGATAGTAATGAATATTTACATAGTACCTCACTAACCTAAGACTTTTTCTTTGGCTATCTAAGGGTTAACTCAGGGTGTAAAGAAGGCTTATATAGCTGTGAACTTGGCTAATAATCCTGGCAGTCTGTGCCACCAACTTCTTGTGCTTTTTATACGTGTCCCTTAGGTGGAGAAAAGGCGGCCTAGGAAGACAAAGCACCCGGGTCCTCTGTGCTGCCGCAGGGGTCAGGTGTTAGGTGGCTGATGTCCAAAGGAGCACTCAGGTGGCTGAGTGTCCTAAGGACCCTCCCAGACTCCACTTTCTGTTCAGCCGGTGTTTACCACGTCCCCTCCTGAATCTGAAGGGAAAGCTATCAGAGCCAATGACAATATTTTTCAACTTCAGAGCTCTGGGGAAAGGAGCGCCATGGAGACAGCCAAGGGCTAGGTACCCCCTGCTTCCATCAGAACAGTTCCTCTTTTACTTATTTTAATAACTGACCTGATTTGTCTATCGAAGTGGTTAGAAAAACATAGCTCTCTACATTTATGTGGCCTGGCTCTCTCCCGAGCTCAGAGACTCACCAGGGATGGTAGGAGGACTCCCGAGTGAGCTACCCGGCACGGCCCCACTGGAGTGCGGAGAGTTCCAGAGGCCTGAAAGCTTATGTGCTGACAGGAAGGAGCTGGGATCCCAGTCCCCTGAGTTCCCATGGCAGGAGGAGGAGGACGAGGACGATGAAGAGGAGGACGAAGAGGAATGAGAGTCACCCCCACAAGACTGTGATTTGCAGGATGTGTGTGACAAGGAGATCTGGAGAAGGGGGAAGAAAAAGGCTCATGGTAAAACAGCAAACATGAGAGCTGACCCGCTGCTGCCTTAGCTTACTCAGGAGCACCTCCTCCTCCAGGCCCTGTGCCATGGCCAAAGTACAATTCCCACAACTCCAGGTGCACGGGCAGACATGGATCAGGCCTTTGCCGGGAGGGGCAGTGATGCTCCCAGTAAAGTGAAGTGTGTGGATACTGGTGAGAGAGACTGGTAGAGATACAGACTGCCTGTCAACTGTGGGCCTTTGGGGAGTCCTGAGAGCTGCCAAGGAAAGGAAGGGTCTTTAAGTCAAAAGTCCTGAAGCTGACATGATCCTGGGGTAAAAGAGAGGGGCTGGAGGGGAATGAGAACCAAGGAAAGTCTGACTGCTGTGATTCAGGAGATGCCACTTAGATGGCTCCTTCTAACTGAGGCACATGGTCGACCCTCAAACCAACCTTTGCCATCCGTCACATACTGGTTGGCTTTTAAGCTGTCACAGGGCTGAAGGTAGCACGGTGACACAGAAGGGGCAGAATCTCCATCGACAGTACCTACAAGCAGGCACTCACACCGCACAGGCTCTCCTCAGGGGCAAGGGGGCTGCCTGCAGCCTCTCCGTTCTTGCCCCGAGTGTGAACCCAAGCTGCTACTGCTGTGTGGACACAGCCCAGCAGCCACTCAGTGCCTGGGTGCAGGGGCTGCCGGAGGAGCGCCACCTGAGAGGGCAGGGAAGGAACAGCTCAACAGCCTGATGCCTCTGGGCAGGCAGCCCACCTGCATTCAGGGACCCCCTTCTCAGCCGTTACCTACCGCCACTGCATGCTCTCGACCTGTCTGCCTTTCATCTTCCTCCATGCTCTTTCGGCAACTCTGGCAGACCCATAGAGGCATCTCGCCTAGGAGATTCTTGACAAGCTTTGGCATGAAGTCAGGGGGCAGCTTCTCACCCTGCAACACCAGTCCGTTTTGGGAAGGGCCTTCTTCCCAGCCTTTGCGTTCCCGATGACATAGCAGGCAGCAAGTCTGCACAGACTGGGTGGAGGTGGGGGGGACCTGTCCAACAGACAGAAACAGGGTTTCCCAGGAGGGGAAAGGCTCTGCTTAGAAATAGTATTAACCATACTAATAACTTCACTTATTATATGCCAGGCACTGGGTTAGGCACTTTCTATACATAATTTTAGTCCTTGTAATAGCTCTGCAAACTAGGTGTTATTTTATTTTTTATTTTTATTTATTTATTTTTTTTAAGATTTTATTTATTTATTTGAGAGAGACAATGAGACAGAGAGAGCATGAGAGGGGGGAGGGTCAGAGGGAGAAGCAGACTCCCTGCTGAGCAGGGAGCCCGATGCGGGACTCGATCCCGGGACTCCAGGATCATGACCTGAGCTGAAGGCAGTCGCTTCACCAACTGAGCCACCCAGGTACCCTTATTCTATTTTTTTAAGACGAAGGAACAGATTTCGAGAAGTTAAGTAACTTGCCCAAAGTTACAGAGCTAGTGAGTGGCTGAATTAGGAGTTGAACTCCGGTTGACTTCAAAGCTCATGCTCAAATGCCCTACAAAGGTTAAAGGAAGGTCCCCTTCCTTCTCTGGTATGTCTAGGAGAGGCCACAATTCTTGGGCTGTCTGTGCAGTCCACAGACCAATCCTCACCTGGGGGTTGGGGAGATCCTTTCAGTTAATGTTGAGTTTGGGAGAACGCGTGGCTTTCCCAAAAGCCACACAATTCCATTACGATCACAGCAGCATTTTGGTGGAGGGGTTTGCATAATTCATCAGAAAGCATTAATTCAATAGAAAACTGAGTTGGAGAAAGGATAAAACAGACCCTGGTGCTTCCGAGAGGCAGTGAGGTATGGTGAAAAGACCTGGGCTTTGGGGGTCAGACTGAGCCACATTCTAATGCCTGCCTGAGCACACATTAGCTGGGTGACCTTGAGCAAGTTATTAGACTTCCTGAGCTCTGACTCCCTACCTACCTTGCAGAGTTGATGCGAGACTCAGTGCATAAACAGGGAAAGTGCTTAGCCCCGTGCATGCTCAAAGCATAGGCCCAATACCCAGTAATTATTACCTGGACTTTTTTTTTTTTCCTTCTAGGACAAATGACATAGAAATATAAGTCTACAGGTTTTTATGTCATATTGAGGGGTACTGATTGGGAGACTGATTACATTTAATGACCCCAATTAGTGGCTTTCCTATTTTCTGCAGCTTTGGAAGGCAGCTATGCTCACCACTATACCACGAATGCCACGGCTTCCAGGGCTATTCTGTAACTTCGTAGAACCCTCTTTGACACTGGGGTTGGTCATGTCACTTTCTTTGGCCAATGGGATGTTAGCAAATTTGCTGCCAGCATAAGGTTGAAAAGTATGTATGCATTTCTACTTGCTTCTTTGCATGGCTGGGCTTGCTCCCTCTTGCACCTCTGCCTGCCATGAGAGCATGACGGGGCTAGCTGCTGGAGGGATGTGAGAGACGTGTGGAGAAATCTGAGTCTTCCTCGCTGATGGGCCAGTGGATCACATACATGAGTAAGCCCAGCTAAGATCAGCCAAGCCAGCCCCGATCGACAGAAACACCCAGTCAACCCAGAGACTCATGAGAAATAGTAAATAGGGTTGTTTTAAGCCACTAAGTTTTGGTGTGGTTTGTTACATGCAATAGTTGTATTAACTGATATACCTTCCAAACTTACCCACCACTAGGTAGCAGGTATTTGCAGAGGCCTAAGCAAAGAAATAAGGGTACCATCCTCATCCTACCATGAAAATAAATGCCATCATCTTTCTCGAATAAAATCACCTTCTCACAATAAATTGGCACCAGGGTATCCTTAAATCTGTAATGTTACAATTACACTGATCTGGGTCTCTGGTTTCTAGAAAAAGAAAGGAACCAAATAGTACCAGAAGCATAATGAAACATCTGGGGAAGAACAAGGACGTTGGAAAAGAGTACCAGAGAGAGAGAAATCCTATATGTGGAACCTATGTGAGATACTGCCTAAAAAGTTTCTGTCAAGGGAACGTTTCAGTGGACAAGGCAGCTGCTTAACTGCAACTGTAAAAGGACAGAGCTTCTAACCCACTAGTGGTATCTCATGGAAAGGGGGGGGGGGAGATTGATGGAGAAGGATGGTATTCAGAGAAGTCAAGGAGGCCTTTTTGAGAAGTGTACCCAGGAAACTTTTCATACCTATTAGGTGCCATAGTAACTCCAGAGGGAGGAGATGAGGCCAACATCCAAGTCCCTTTCCCTGTGCTGATGGTGACCACATTCTTAAGGAAAACACCAGGACGTGTAGTTTTGCTACAAGAGAGTTTCATTTCATTTGGGTATTAGGTTCTAAAGTTACTACATAAGAGGAAAATCTTGTCTGAGTAAAATTATTCTGAAATTCTTTGTATGGCCTGTGATGTACAGTATATATAGTTTTGGCACAACCAAGATATCAAGTGTATAACATATATGGCAATGTTCACTAAGTGTTTTTTTTTTTTCTTTTAAAAGCATATCCAGAATTCTTTGTAAGTTGAACGTGTGATCAGTGTGATTGTACCTAGTGCCAAAGTACTTGTGGGAGGCACCGGGTGCAGTGGAAATGACATTGGCTTTGGCACTCATCTTGGGCCTCCACCACTTAGCAGCTATAGGATGTTGGGCAAGTTCTAGTCTCTGTCTCTTCATCTGTAAAACGGGATTAAGTCCTACCTTGTAGGGTTGGCTGTGAACATGGAATGGACAAAGCACCCAGTCCAGTGCCAGGCCCATAATATGTTGCCTCAACATATGATACTAATTATGAATATGATGGGAGTGATGGGAAACATTTAAAATCAGGACTAGGCTTGAAAAACATAGAAAATACGGTCACTATATTTTATAAGAATGCAACCATCTTTCATGTGGAATGAATTTAAGGTGACTTTCAGACATCTTAATCTCCGCCCTCTACCCCATAAAGTCATTCTTTAAGTTCCCCAAATATTCTCTGTACTCTCCTACCCCTACCTCATGCCTTTGCTAACGGGGATCCTCTGCCTCAAACCCCCTTCCTTCCCAAGTTTACCAATAAGTAGCTGGGCAGGGCTTAAACCCAACCTCATCCAAGCTTTCCCAGGGAGTCCCTCTTGTAATTCCTCTCCCCTCCCCATATCTCCACAGCACATTATGCCTTGCTTACAGCATCTGTGCCTTCCACTTTATTTATTTACCTGCATTTCCTGTCCCTTCTATTAGGTTGCGCTCCTAGAGGGCAAGCATCAGGTCTGATTCTTGTCTGGATCTCTCACAGTGTAGCACAGGGCATGGGATCAGCTGGGCACATACTGGCTAAATCAGATTTGTTAAATATCACCATGGCAGTACAGCTTAGCAAGACATTGCTTGAAATTTTGAAATTTTTGCTTCTCACAGAGAAAGGCCATCTCCCTACCCTGGACCTTCACCTCGATGGTTCCAATCTCAAGTGTGGAAGAGTGGAAGATCACATTCCTTGGGGATTACAATGAGATGGCCTCATTCATGGAAATAATGTGGCCCTTCCTAGAGCCAAACTGGTCTACATAATAAATGAGATTAGCCATCAATGGAAGCAAATTTACAGGACAGGCTGTCTTTCCAGTTAGAGGGAGAAAACACAGGGCCTGGCAAGCTAATTAGGTCCTAACTGAAGCAGGGATAATACTACCTACACTGCATAAGGTTGCTCAGAGAATTAAGTGACATTAGAGATGCAAAACTTAGCCCAAGGGTTCCATGCAGTAGACAATCTATTACCTAGGCCCTTTGGCCATTCTGTTCTTAATAAAAAGCTACGTTGGAATCTAGTTATTCACTGTCCTGAGTTTGGTATACCTGAGCTCTTTCTGGGCCGCAATTCTTGGGGCTACTCCCAAAGCTGTTTTAATCCTAAGCCTTGGTGTCTGCCCCTGAATACAATGCCTGGTGGGGCCTGGGGAGTTTTTTCTCTGACATTTTCATTTTTACTGCCAGAGGGTGGTGAGAATCCCGAGACCTGGAGATGTTATATTCAGTCAGTACTACCACTGTTTCTGCAAATTTTTGCTTTCGCAGAGAAAAGCTCTTGGTTCAGAATTCCCTTTGACTGCAATCTCCTGCCATTTTTCAAATTCCTGGCAATCATCATCCCTTATGCCCCGAAGTCAACTCAGGCTTTCAACTAGCTATTCTCAAGCTGCATTTTTAACATCAGGCACAGTATTCCCACACAAGAACATGAACAATAAATGTTTATCGAATGAATGAAAAACCCAACCATTTTTCTTCATCACAAAGCCTAGGGAACTGATCCTTAAACCCAGCAGCCCTGGGCAACAATTATTCCTTCTCACTTCAATTTAAATTTCAGAGCCTCTCCAGATAAAGGTCTAGTCCTAAGTATAAGATGGGGGAAAGAGCAAGGAAAGATTCCAGGGTTTTCTAGATTTGGGATCTGCTCAAAAAAGCTCCAAGATTAAATTCTGCTTCACTCTAGGCAAAATCAGCATCTCTGAGAGTGTGGGATTACTCACACAGGGGATCCATGTTTTAGCATGCACATCCCCAGGGCAGTCAAGGAGCCAGGTGAACCCTAGACTGTGGCCACTCCCAGCCCAGGGGGCTGGCATGTGCAGTCATTAAAATCATTATCTTTGCTCCCTCACCTGACCAGGCCCAAGACCTTTCTGTCTTGGCCTGAGAAACATACAGTATTCTAGATTTTCCTGGATAAGAGTAGTTAAAATCAAAGGAAAAGGAAGCCAGTTTTTCTCATGGAACATCATTTTTACTTGAAAGAATGACTGACAAACTGGTTATTCAGACTTGGAAACTGCCAGACATTTTCTCAAAAAATGAACAAAATGAGCCCGTCACTTCAAGGAAAACATCTTTTTATTTGTGGCCAATGACAAAATACAAGCTTTCAGGCAAAAATCAGAATTTTGGAAATTTGAAAATTAGAATTTTGTATCCTTCATCATGAACTTAACAGCTTCCCAATACTTAAAGACTTTTCTGGTGAAAATGGTGGTGATGTTAACAAATGTAGTCTTTTAATACTGTAAAATGAAATGGAAAAACACTTGGGAGAGCTGCATAACTCAGTGAACCTATTTTCCAAATGAGCAAAGCATGATGTTTTAGAATCATGCATTGGTAAAAAAAAATCCATTCAAAGTGCTAGATAAACGAACAGATTTTTAATGTAAATGAGTACGAAGACTTCATTGACACAGTCTCAGATTCCATATTGCAAAGAATATCAGCAATCACCTGGAAAGGCTATTAAAATACTCCTCCCTTTTTCAACTACATTATCTGTTTGGGGCTAGATTTTTGAAAAATATACTTCAAAACAATGTACTGCAACAGACGGGATACAGGAACATATATGAGCATCAGCTTCTTTTTATTAAGCCAGACAAAGACATTTGCAACAATGAAAATGAGACCATTCTTCTATTATTATTTTTTTTTGGAAAATGTATTTTCATTAAAAAATTATTCATGTTAACATGATAGGCTTAATACTGTTATTCTTAAATGAATTAGTCAACAAAATATTTTTAAGCTTTCTCAGTTTTAATACTTAATTTGGTAAATATCAATAGATAAAATCAACAAAAGAAAGCTCTTTTGGGTCCTCAGTAATTTTTAGGAGTATAACAGGGCCTCAGACCAAACACTTTGAGAACTGCTAACGTGAAGCCTCTAACGGTGCCTGTCACCTGGCGGGGGCACAGTTAGCAACAGTGTTTGTTAACAATGATACAGGTCATGGTATATCTGGATAGCTCTTTGGGGGCATGAATAAATTTTCCATCTCACCTTTTTGTCCACAATTTGGGAACTGCTGGGGAATAATCCAGGTCACCAGACCAGGCATCTATCAAGGTCTGCTCTGAAGCTGGATCTAATATCCAGCACTAAACTTGCTCTTATTCCTCTCATGGATTCCTTTTAATCCCAAGAGTGTGTATGTTTGTAGAGGATTCCCCCAAGACATATGCTGTATCTAACCAATGGCCCTGCAACAGCTTCCAAATTCTATTCTGAAATGACCCCATTAGAGCACTCTATTCTCAAGGCACCCAACTCCAAGAGCCTCCCTATCACCAAGGCAGACAGAGGACAACAGAAGCAGCCAAAATTCCCTTCTAGAAGCAGAGAAAAATGATTAATCCTAGCCTAGCAAAACTCATCAGTCCAGTCATTGCCACTTACTCTTCCATCCACCCATTCATTTCCTCATTCAATGAACACGCTTAGAGACCATTCTCATTGTGGTAGGTGCTGGGCAACATCAAACGATATAGAATCCCTGCCTTAAGAACACATGCTTAAACCACGCAGGTTCATGCATGGGGTTGGCAATGCTCCCAAACTCCTAGACGCCTCATTTTGGAGAATCAGGCAGGAACACAAATTTAAAATAACACGCAATTAAAATTAATATAACAAAATAATATACAAATTAAAACAACCATCCAACCAGGACAATAGGCTTCTCTAGTTCATGTAAGCTTATTATGTGCCTTCTCACGTACTTAACCAGTTTGAGGATCTCCTTCCTTTAGTTTAGCTCTTCTTCCTACCTTGGTCTCTCTTTAATCTCCTGGCTCCTTTCTGGTTGAGCTCACTACCATGACACCTTCTGGCTCCTGCGTTTCATGACTTGGCCCCAGTTGACCTCTCCATGCTTCATTTCCATGTGTAACACCTGACAATCTTAGGTTCTATTCATACTGCTCCTCCGATACACCTTATCCTGCAAATCTCAGCGTCTCAGTTCTACTCCTCAGCAAATCTGTACTCATGCCCTAAGATCCTGATCAAAGGTTAATGAGATTTTTGCTGGACCAGGGTAAGCAGAACTAATTCTTTTAGTATAGCACCTATTACACTGTGCCACAGACATATTCGGTCTGCCCCAAACCCCTGGCGGAATGAGAACTCCTTGGGGGCAGGGAGTGCATCTTAGTCATTTGAGTGTGCCCAGGAACCTAGGCTTGGCATGGACCTGACACATGGTAGGCATTCATCGAATAAATGAACAAATGCTTAAAGCCCACCTGGCTCCATTTCAGTTGCTCTACACAAAGGGAAGAATCTAAAGACAGCTGGACTAGCCCTTTCCTGGATATGCCATGCTAACGGCATAGCTCTGTCACTCTGGGTCACTGATGAAAGGGTATCAGTGCTAAAGTTAATTCTTAAGGATGTGATATAACTGCACCTCAGTGCCCTGGAGCTTTCACCCAAACTCACACTCAGGCTGTTGGCTCAGTTCCTTCCTGAAAGAACAGCTGTTTTACACCAGCTGGTTTGTGCAGAATCCTCTCTGGTTGTATAAGCTCAGTCAAGGATAGGGCAGTGAGTCTCTCTGACCCCAGTGGCCTTCCACCCCCCTCCCCCCAAGGCTGGCTCATCTGTTGAACCTACTTCCTGGGTACAATCAGCCACCGGAAGGCCTAAACTACGGTTATTAACCTAGAACTTCAGGCAAACCATATTACCTACTCTGTCACCCCAGTACAGATTTCTCATGGGTGGAAGAGTATGAACTTTGGAGACAGACTGTTGTGAGTTCAAATCCCAGTTCTGCCATTTCAGTATGATCTTGGATTATTACTCAATTTCTTTGAGCCTCAATTTCCTCATTTATGAAATGAGAATAAAACCATACTTCACAGAGTTGTGAGGACAGAAGGAAATAAATTATGTAAAGTACCTGGCCTGGGCCTGGCACACAGTAGGTGCTCAATACCCGTTAGTTTCTTTCCTCTTCTGTCCTGGAAGAAATGACAGGGAAACTTACTAAGTGAGACGTGCCCAATCCAAAGTTATTACTTGAAGCACAGGACAGAGGACTAGACAGGTGACCTTCAAGGCCCCTTTATACCCCCCCATCCACGATCTCTGGCTACAACTTCCTAGTAAGACCCTTCAGTATTTTAGGGCCCTTCTTTCTGCCTTAAGTTTCCCTTTATCACTTCTCAGAGTAGATGAAGAGGCCTATTCATTTCAGAATGGAGGGGGAACCACAAAGGGAGCTGGAGAGCTGAGAGCCTTGAGGAGGGACTAAAAGGAGATGGCCTAGGACTGCAGCATGTTCATCCACCCACAGGTTGAAGGATGAGGGGGGAGCATGGGCACAGAACCAAAGGGTGCAAACACAGGGCCTTTCCTGGGATGTAAGACTTCCTCTTCTCAGTCCTTTTCTGCTCTGCACATTCTGCCAGGAACAACCATTAACCATTTTTTCCCCTAATACCCATTTCTTTCCCCAAATACATAAAGCACTCACACCTTCACTCATGCTGTTCCCTCTGCCTCTTCCTTTTTAGGCACAGTTTGGGTGTTACATCCTCCTAAGTCCATAGGCAAAATTAACTGTGCTTTGCTCTGGAATGTCCTAACATTTCTTACATATCTCTTGAATAGAGCTTATCATATATGTATCCCAGTTTTTGAAATCTGTCTTCTCCACAACACTAAGAACACTGAATGGCAGGACCTGTGCCCCATGACTAACTGCATCCCAATCGTTCAGCAGAGATGGCAGCACCAAATGGGCATGGGTAAGCCTCTGGATACACAAAGGAAGATTAGCAGTTGGAGAATATCATTAATGGGGCAACAACTGGAGAACGGGGAAAGTCTGTTTTTTGTTTTTAAAACTAAGGCTGTTTCTGTTCCTGCTTATGGAAAAGCTCCCCTCTCTGGGAAGCCCCATTCTTTGAAGAATATCCTAGGCTTCCGCTAAGCTTCCCCATGCCACCCTCAACTCAGCATTTCCCAGACCCAGCCACACAATAGAATCACCTGGGGCAGTTTAACAACCACAGATTCCTGGGCTCCAGACCTAGAGACTCTGGTTCTGTAGGTCTGGGACAGGGTCCAGCAAAGCACTGGGGATCTGATGATTAGTTTGGCTGGGGTGAGGGAGAGGTAGAATCAAGCAATCACAGCTGCTTCGTCACTGAGATTGCTTTCTCTCATGCTATCAGAGAATACCCAAGAACATCATGTTCACTTTCTTATTTAAAAGCTTTCATTGATGGGGCACCTGGGTGGCTCAGTCGTTAAGCGTCTACCTTAGGCTCAGGTCATGTTCCCAGGGTCCTGGGATCGAGCCCCACATCGGACTCCCTGCTCCATGGGAAACCTGCTTCTCCCTCTCCCACTCCTCCTGCTTGTGTTCCCTCTCTCGCTGTGTCTCTCTCTGTCAAATAAATAAAATCTTAAAAAAAAAAAAAAGCTTTCATTGATTCTTCACTATCTGCAGGATAAAGCCCAAACTTCTTGGTGTGGTTTGTAGAACCCTGCTAACCTCTCCAGCCTGACCTCATGCTACTCTGCCGGAGTTGGGCAGTTCTCACCTCTGGGTCTCTATGTTGCTTTTTTTGTTTAGATACTTTCTCCCACCTTCTCCTCTAAAGGAACTTCTACTCAACCTTGAAACATCAGTTCTGAGAAGTCTCTAGGGCTATCATTTCTGTGCATCTTCAGTACCAAGTATCTGTAATAATTACGATTACCATTTGTGCTAAGTGCTTGACATGCAGTACTTGCTGCCCTAATGGGAGCCTGGCATCACTGTCATACATGTGAGAAAACAAATTAAGGCTAAAACTCTTCCAAAGGCCACATACTAGGATCTGGACTTGAACCTTAACTCAGAGGAAGTGATGCTCTTCTAGCCTAACTACAATTAATATATACATGTGGGCAGGGACTGATTCACCTCTGCGTCCCCAGCTAGCCCAGGGCCTGGCACAGATCAGGTGTCCATTAGTGTTTGCAGAATAAATTAACACCAGGTCAGGTGAGAGGGAGACTGGGTGTGGTGTGTGCATAATGGGCCTAAATGAATGAATGATGGCCAGCCTGGCCCAGCAGTAGAGGCTGGTAAGAAAAAAGTGGAAGAAACCTAACTTTTACTTCTTTTATTATAATTTGGTTTAACAGCCACTTATTGAGCACCTAAGGACCATGCAACAATAAATACCCCACAAATGAATTAGAACATAGCCCCTGCTCTCAAAAATTCTAGGTTCAGTATATAAGGTTGTCAGGATCTTAACAGGCTACCAGGTATTAAGCTTATAATTTTAGCAAGTAAGTCTTCATCTTCAAAGGCCTTTTAGCATTTCTACATTGTGAATCTCTATTGGCTTACAGAGAAAAACCAGAGGTGGCAGGGATTCCCCCCTCGGTATCATCTCCTACTACTTGCAATGAAAAGTGGCCAGGCTGGGTGGGCAGTGATTTTAAGGGGGAGGTCCCCTGGTATAGGGACTATCTTATTCATCTGTGTGCCCAAAATAAAGGCCGTGGCACAGAGGTCAGAATGCTTGTTGAGTGGATTAAACATAATGAGATGGTTTCAATAAAGATACTGACTGATCCTCTGTTCCAGTCTCTTGAGGGAGCAGGTTTAACTCTGAGCAGTGGGGAACCAGGTCTCTAGAGTCTCTCTAAACTGTGCTGGGCAGGACTCAGCAGGTGCTGTAGAGAGATGAGAGATGGGAAGGGCAGGATGAGCTCAAACAGTTCCAACTGCTGGTTTATAGTCTGGCAAGTCTCCTGAGGGTTTACTGAGTATGCACCTGGACTGCAGGCTGAGTGGTCCAAGAGAGACTAAAAGACAGACAGCAGAATTGGCAGGTGAGAACACTCAGGCTTTGGATGGCCATCTGGCAGTTCCCACTATCTCTGACTCCTGCTCTTGCCTCAGGAGCCTCGATGTACTAGGTACTACGTGGATTGCTCCATATTCTCTTATGATGTTGCTGATGAGGCTTAGAGAGAGGAAAAAACATGCCCAGGGTCACAAACCCAGAGACTGAGCTTGGGAGTTCACCCCAAGTCTGGAATACTAAACACTATTTCTCACTACTGCCTTATTCAGCTGCTTTAAGTTTTTTTTTCTTTGCTAATAAGGCAGTAACTGTTTTAGTCTTATTTAGAAAATGAGGATTTGGATTGTTAGCGAACAGATCAAGATAGTTTAGTGACCTGAAACAAATGGAAGTAGGGACTTTTGGGATACCAAATAGGCCAGCTCAAGGTCCTGCCTTTATATGTGAACAAGTTATGCAAATGAGCCAAGGGGACTGGATGGAACCAGCATGGCTTCAAACCTGAACTCAGGAATCACGGCTCTTCCAGCCTAACTGCAATTACTGTATACATGTTCTCTGGACCATGAGCCCTCTGTGGGCAGGGACCACATCTGATTCACTTCTGCATTCCCAGCTAGCCCAGGGCCTGGCACAGATCAGGTGTCCTTCATATCAGGGGGAGACACTATTCAGAGACTACAGATTACTGCCTTACAGCAATGTGGGCCCAGCAGCACCAGATTTTGAGTTTTAAGAAATGGCACAAGTCCAGTTTGTGGGAATCTTTTGTTTTTTAAAAAATTGGCTTAAATCAAAACAAAAACCAAACAATGTGTGACTTGGGACTTTAGAACCTGTCTGTGGACTACAAGTGGTCCTATTTGCTATCTTTGGCTTCAGTTTGGCCTGCAACACTGAGTTTCCCCTTACGTACGTACCCACTCTGTGTACACAGAGAATTTTAAGTGGCAGTGGGAGACACAGATCCTCACCAAAGGCACGCTAGTGGGCAGAACAATGACCCCAACCCTTTCAGCGGGTGCTTTTCACCAGGGCACAAAAGCCTGCTTCTGGCATTGAGAAACCCCCTCCCCAGCAAAAAAGTGGGGTACAATCAGAAGAGAGTTTGTCAGTTTGTTTCACCTCTTTGTGGCTATAGTATTTAAAAAAAAAAAAAAAGCCTTGTCAAATCCAGCACAGTACAGAAGAGTGTCCTTTTTTGGAGGGGCATGAGGCACCTGAGACCTACAGTGGGAGTTATTTGAGCAAATGCTTGCTCTGAGTTTCCGTTTCTTCATCTGAAAAATGGGGAAATAGTATTTATATCCTTCAGTTCATTCATTAAACATTTGTTAATCACAGGCACAGGGGTACAATAGTGACTGACGTGGTTCCTGCACTCTCAGAGTTTATGTAGCAAAAGCAGACCAATAATTAAACCAATAGTTAACTCATCACAATTGTACTAAACGCTGAGGAAAGAAAAGGGGTGGTGGGAAGATTAGAAGTATGGTATATATAGTGTCTGGCATGAATAAATTAATGGACTGGCAAGTCAAGCAGTGGAGCAGATAATGAAGCTTATAGCTCTTAGGAAAGCTGTGTCCTAAATAAAAACTAAATAGTTAAACCATTATCCAAAATTCTGGCCATGAATACTATAGCCTAGCTAAGTGGCAGGGGACCCTAAAGTGTTGCTGGTGAGTGGGAAGGAGAGAAGACAACAGCTCCCCTGGCTCTCCCTACCTTAATGCTCCCCTTTTGGATAACAGCATTCCCAGGGTGGCCCAGAGAAGAGAAAGAGCAAAGCTAGAGGGGGAAGCAGGTTCAGGGTCTAAAGTCAGACCAGGCAAGGGCGGAGTCCAACCTGGTGAGTTGTATCCCAGGGTAGGGGGTGGGGGTGAAGGTGAGGCTTCTGACACTCAATAAGTGGTGACATTTTCATTAATTAAAAATCTTATTGTGATATGAAACACAAAGGAGAACAGCATCGAAACTGGGTTACAATAAGCACAGGTTCTCAACGGATTCATTCTCTCTCTCATTCACCTAGTTATTTCTACTCAGTGTCAGCAAGGCCCAGGGCTAGGCATGGAGGATCAGAGATAGATGACATAGTCTGTGCCCCCGTGGAGTTCACAGTGCAGTGCAGGGAACAGATACATCAACAGAATGTCTTGAAGAATGGGGAATGCTACCAAAGGAAGCACAAGGGGCTGTGGGCACAAAGAGGGCACCTCACGCAATTGGGAAGGTAGGGAAGGCTTTCTGGGAATGGTACCCCAAATGGCATCCCCACTCACATGCACAATTCCAGAGATTCTACTAGAAGGCTGTCAAGAGCCATGCCTTCTGGCTGCACCAGCCTCCCAGAGTCCCCTGCTGCCCGATGCAGTGTCTGCAGAGCCAAACGCATCTTCCGCCACGCCTCATCCTCATCCGGCGCTGCATCCGACCCTCCAAGACTCCTGCAGGAGCCTGCCTTCCTTGGCAGGCTCAGCCAAAAGACCAACTCAAAACTCTTTTGTCAGAGCAAGCTTAGGGCGAGCCACCCAGCCCTCCCAGAGCAACTGTGGCTCATGCCACCCCGGGCTCTCAGTGAACACTAGCAGGGTACCTCCCATTATCTCCTTTGCTCAAAAGAAAGTGACCTTCTTCCAGGTGATAAGCTGGAAGCTTTGCTGAGTCCTGCTACTGCTCACTCTCAGCAGGATTCACCAAACCCAGGGATCTGAGGGTTGGGGTGGGCCACCTTGTTGGTCAGAGGTATACAGGGAAGAAAGGGCAGGCTTTGCTAGTTTACGCTTCAGTGCAGGCGCCCCACCAAATAGTCTTCTGGGCAGGGAGAGGCGGGAGGCCACAGGAGACATATGCTGGGGGCACACAGCTGCTCAGGGGGCAGTGGCTGCAGGCAGTGAGGGGAAAGGGTGGGGCCGCTCCCAGGGTGGGGAAAGGGAAGAGGCTGCAGCCTTCCAGGCCACAGCGCCCCAGGCTGGGCTGTGGGTAGGTGGGGAAGCAGGTGGGCCCAGGGGGAGGTGAAGGGCAGAGGGCTGAGCTGTGCCCTCAGGAGCACAGCCTAGTCCCAGTGTGGGTGTACGACCAGAAGGTTTAGCCCCTGCTCCAGCCGGGAGGCGGCGGGAGAGGGCAGGCAGCCCTGGTCACAGGACAGGACGGACCATGCTTCGGCTTGGAGAGAAGGGTCCAGCCTCCACTCCCGCCTCAGGGGAGACAGCCTCAGCCCCAGCCAGTGGAGGATGGTCCATCCCCAAGCTCACCCCGGCCCCGCTCCCGGGAGGGGAAAGTGCCGGAGCAGCCGGACTCTCCTCGCTCGCTCCTACCTGCGGTCCGGGCGCCAACTTGGGCTCGTCCTCCTCCCTGGGGCCGTCGCGGTCCGGCTCCACGGGCGCCGCCGGGGGCCCTGCACCCGCTCCCGCTTCCAGGCTCGGCGGCGGCGGGGGCTCGGGAGCCTGGGGCTTTTGCTGCCCCGCGGCCCGCATCCGCTCGCGCCGACCCGCGCCGCCGCTCGGCCTGCTCCGCCTCCGAGTCATGCTGCTGCTCGCGCCGCTCCCTCGCTTCACTCGCGCCGCCGCCGCCGCCGCCGCCGCTCCCCTCGCAGGACAACAGCCAATATGGCGGCGCCCGGCTCCCCCCTCTGCTGCTGCCAGCAGGTCATAGGGCGCGGCGTCCGCGCCGCCGCACTAGCCCCCGAGGCTGCCTGCGCCATTTTGAATAAGGTCACCACTTAAAGTTCTGTGAGAGTAAGAACCTGGCGGACTCCGGGATGCGACCTGCGCCGGGGAAGGGTGGTCGTTGTGGTAACCACGCGGCACAGCCCTGGGCGCTTCATAATTGTCTGCTGAATGGATGAGTGAATTAATTAACTTCTAGAGTACTTTCACACCCACCATCTGACTCCTCGCCCTCACGCGGCGAGGCGGGTACGGTCGTTCCCATTTTGCGGCGGACAAAATCGAGGCTACGGAAGGCGAAGGGGCTGCTCAACGTTAGCCAGCCAGAACTCGTGGGTTCGTGGATGGCCTGAGGTGAAAGGGGTGGAGGAATGGTCTAGGTCTTTATTTGCAACGTATGGTCGACTGGGGAGTCCAGTGTTCTGTGCTTGGGACAGCAGAGCTCAGACCCCGCTCCTGCCGCAGTCTGGTGGAGAAAGTGGACAGTTAAATACACAGTTACAACTAGTGTGATGGTGAGATGACTGGGGCGCATACTAGGTCAGTGTTTCTGCAAAAGTTGTATGTGCAGGGGAGGATTTTGAGTGGTACACAAAGGAACATTTAAAAAATGTGATAATTATGTATTTAATTGTTAAAATGAGCTTCCCCCTCTCTTTTTTTTTGAATATACGAGACATGCGCATGGTACAACTTTTAGAAAAAGTTTTGAGTGCAATATCTCGTGCCAGGGCCAGTGGTACCCTGAGACTGTATGGCGGTTATATGTAGAGTTGCTCTTGGTATCAACAGGCCAGAATTATGACATTAGCCTAATTAATGGGAACAAGGGCTATTTTGAGAAGGGCTACATGGCCCTGGAGCTTTCCTTAACTACCAAGAACGTAAATGAAAAATACTTCATCTCATTATAGGGATTAGTGCCATCATCAAGGATTTGAAGGATTCAGGGTGATTCCCACTACATGAACATTACTTCTTAGTTTGGCCAGAATAGAAGATAGATAGTATTTTTTCCCATTTATTTATTTTTATTGTGTTAAAATATGCCTAACAAAACTTAATCTTAACCATTTTTAAGCATATAGTCCAGTGGTATTAAGTACATTCTCATTGTGTGCAACCATTACCCTCATCCCTTTCCAGACCTCTTTTCATCTTGCAAAACTGAAACTCCATATTGATTAAATAACTCCTCATCCTCCCTTCCCACAGCCCCTGGCAACCACCATTCTACTTAAAAACAAACAAACAAACAAACAAAAACCCAACCTCTTTTTCTTCACACCCCAGCCTCTGGTACCACTATTCTACTTTCTGTTACTATGAGTTCAGCTTTTTTTCTTCCCCCTTAATATTCCATATATGTTAGATCATGCAATATTTGTCTTTTTGTGACTGACTTATTTCACTTTGCAGAGTGTCCTCCAGAATCATCCATGTTGTTGGAAATGGCAGGATTTTCTTCTTTTTTAGAGATGAATAATATTCCTTTATATATATTATGTACATATGCTTTGCATATAATATATATATATATTTTTTAAGATTTTATTTATTTCTTCGACAGAGAGAGACACAGCGAGAGAGGGAACACAAGCAGGGGGAGTGGGAGAGGGAGAAGCAGGCTTCCCGCTGAGCAGGAAGCCCGATGTGGGGCTCGATTCCAGGACCCTGGGATCATGACCTGAGCCGAAGGCAGACGCTTAACGACTGAGCCACCCAGGCGCCCCCTTTGTTTTTTTTTTTTATTTATTTTATTTATTTTATTTTTTTATTTTTTAAAGATTTTATTTATTTATCTGACAGAGAGAGAACAAGTAGGCAGAGAGACAGGCAGAGGGAGAGGGAGAAGCAGGCTGCCCGCTGAGCAGGAAGCCCGATGTGGGGCTCGATCCCAGCACCCTGGGATCATGACCTGAGCCGAAGGCAGACACTTAACCGGCTGAGCCACCCAGGTGCCCCCCCTTTGTTTTTTTTTTAAAGATTTTATTTATTTGTCAGAGAGAGAGCACAAGCAGGAGGAGCGGCAGGCAGAGGGAGAAGCAGGCTCCCCGCTGAGTGGGGAGCCCGATGCGGGACTTGATCCCAGGACCCCGGGATCATGACCTGAGCCGAAGGCAGCTGCCCAACCAACTGAGCCACCCAGGCATCCCATAATATATAGTCTTATACTAATGTATTTTATATATATTTCTTTCACATATATATATATATATGTATATATATGTGTGTGTGTGCGTATGCCACATTCTCTTCATTGATGGAGAAGACAGATGGTCCTGAAGAACAACAGAGCATTATGGCAAACTTATTCTGGTAAGGACCCCAGGTGTGGGCACTTTTTCAGAGTGGTCATTTTTGGAGCATATGGGAGCAGTTGTTAGCCTGTAATAGACAACTATAGTTCTAGTAAATGCTTTTCCTTCTATACCAAATTTTAGGAATAGTTTGTGTTCCTCTGGCAGGGGCAGTAGTAAACCTCTACTGTCTTTTGGGGCGCGTGGGTGGCTCAGTCGGCTCTGCCTGCCTCTCTGCCTACTTGTGCTCTCTCTGTCAAATAAATACATAAAATCTTTAAAACAAAACAAAAAAAACACCTTTACTGTCTTGCTTCAGGGGTATGTCACTCTCTGAACACACTTATTTTATAGGAAGTTTTGACCAAATCACCATTCCATTGGCTACCAGGCTAATCTACTGTGACACTGATGACATCATCCTGATGGGTCCCTTTCTCCCCTTGAGTCTTGGAGTTGGGCCTCAGCCTAATTAAGGACTTTATTTTTTTTTTTTTAATTTTTTCATTTTAAAGATTATTTATTTATTTGAGAGAGAGAGTGTGAGTGAGAGCACAAGCCGGGGTTGGGGGAGAGGCAGAAGAAGAGGGAGAAGCAGACTCCCTGCTGAGCAGGGAGCCTAACTCGGGGCTCCATCCCAGGACCCTGGGATCATGACCTGAGCTGAAGGCAGACACTTAACTGACTGAGCCACCCAGGCACCCCCTAACTAAGGACTTTCTTAACACTTTTTGAGGGAGGTAACCTTTTTGAGGGAGGGTCTCGTTCCTTCTCCCTCAATCCACCTCCCTCTAAACTTGAGAATGGGCTTGTACCTTTGGGCAGGAGGGCCTGGGACTGACTCTCCCTACTTCCCCTGAGAGGGGGAGAGGGTTTAGAGGAGAAGGAATAAAGTTGGAGAGGATGAGAGATTAGATCCAGCATGAAAAGGTCTTGAATCCCAGGTTGAGATTTGGACCATCCGTGAGGGTGGTGGAGCCTTGGCACAGGGGAAGACTGAAATAGGGAGGTCCCAGAGGAGGTGCTCTGGGAGGGGAAGTGCGTTGCTGTGACCTTTTCCAGGCCCTACAGGCCTCATTGTTAGAGTGACTATAGTAGAGTCTGCATGGTGCAATTCTAACAGATACTTTTTCTAGGTAGTAAATAGAAAATGGCTAGTTAAGTAGGTGGCTTTATTAGAGCAGTTGGTTATTGTTCCTAATCATTAATTGAGTAGGCAAGAACAATTGAACCTATGTTACAGGGCCCTGGGAGAAGACCATTGGGGAAGGAGGGAAAACTTTGCAGACAGTATTGAAGAACCTGAATTAGCCTGGGGTGTTTGGGAAACAAATCTCTCAAAAGGAAGAGAGACTTCCTCCTCCTCACCACCCTATCATCCATCTGACCTCCAAGTCTTGTTGATTCTGCTTCCAAAATATCTATTCCAGCAAGGAGGAATCTCTCATCGTAAATTTATCTGTGTAAGAAATATAATTAAAGTTTTTTAATAACTTAATTTCTATTTTGAACTCCCATTCTGTTGGAGTGGCAGAAACTTCATCTCAGCTAATGGAGGGTTTTACCCCTTCCCTGGGGCTTGTGTTTAGCCTCTGGAGCCTCATCTAGTACTCGGGTGTGAGTGTGTGTGTGTGTGTGTGTGTGTGTGTGTGTGTGTTAGGGGATCTCGCTCTCAATGTCATCTGTCTACACAGATATTTGTGGAGATGTCATTGGTCCCACTGGTTGCTGTTGAGACCTGGCTGTTCTCACTCACACGTCTGCTAGAGACCCCAACTCTCTTCCTGCTGCGTGCCACTCTTGCCTGTGGGAATCTTGCTGAGCTTAGCTAAGGTCTTTTTTTTTGGGTGGATGCTCCTCAGAGCCATCTCCATGACAGGGGTTGCTGCTTCCCTCTCTGCTCCTGGGTTTTCTGCCCTGTACTCCAGCCTCTATGAACTCTCATCACTCCCCTCCGTCCTCCTCTTCTACACTCCCTTTTCTCCAGACCTCGGAAACCCTCGTTTTGGGGTCTCTGGAGGACCCCCAAAAGTTGGCACTGTCTTACTGACGAGGGTTCTAAACATACTGGAAAATGAAGCAAAGGAGAGGCAGGTGAAGGCCAGGACATTGCCTTATTGCTGACAAAGGCCAGGGTGGAGCATTCACCCAGTGTGGGCAACTGAATCCCTGAGCTCAGTAGACACCCCCTGTCCCCAGTCATGGCAGTGCTCAACTGGGTAGGCCTCCCTCCAGAGCCCCTGCAGGGCAGTGGATATGGCAGATCTGAAGAGGAAGAAGAGAAGAACTGAGCAGAGCATGCACTGTATTCTTCCCAAATACACAAATCAGAGGAGTTTTTCTCCTCAGCAGAAGTATCCTGCTGGCAGAGCCTCCCTATCTCCTTTAGCTCATGTAGGTTCTTGAAACTTTTCAGCTATGTCTGAGATGTCTCTCGTCCCTAAGTCCTTTTTGAACCCAAATCTAACAGTACTTAAAATTTTTTAAGTAAA